GACTGACTCTTTGCTGTGGGTCACTCTCAGCAGCTAATCAAGCGTTCGGGTGTGAGCTTAGTCATTAAGTGTCGGATACTGAGTCACAGAGAGCATTGGTTAACCCAGGCTTCACCAGAGTCCAATTATAATTTCAGCTAACTCAGCACAGCCTGGGATTCATACCTGGGACCTGGCCAGTGTCTCTACGCACTGGCTTTCAGGGAAATGTTTTTGTTTTGTTTAATTTGAATTTGGGAGTAGTAATGTCATAAACTGCCCATCTTATACAATACAAAATTACATTTGTAACGTGTCTTTCACATCAGGAGGCCATCCTAAGTTGCTTGACAGATAGGGATTTGGACCCGAGCTGGGGGGGTGGTGGGATCAGAGAGGGTGGAGGGCAGGAAGGTGGCCCAAGGCACGGTTGAAGAGTAGGGTCTTGAGACGTGCCCTGAAGGAGGCAAGGGGGGCAGCAAGGCGAAGGGAATGTAGGATGGAGTTCCAAAGGGTGGGGGCAGAGGGGCCGAAGACCCGACTGTCGATGGTGGACGTGGCAGCCCGGAGCCTGCTGAGCGGAGGGAGAGGACAGGTTGATATGGGGTCAGCATGTCACAGAGATAGGAAGGAGCAAGACCGTGGAGGGCCTTGAAGCCAAGGAGGAGGATTTTGAACTCTATCCTCGGGGAATGTACATTCCTGTACATATCAACAATGGCATGATCTCATGTCACGCCTATGGTTCATCTTAAGCCTAATCCACATTTGTAGGAGCATCAGAATATGGTTGTCGGAGGATCTTTCCATTAAACACCAACAAGCAAAAACAACTTGCATTTATATCGTGGCCTTCATGCAGGATAGAGTTGAAACAGTGGCCCATTCACAGTTTGTGATTTACTTATAAATCTTTAGTTTTGTGTGCTGAATGCATACTGAAGTCTCAGCATTTTAAACCATCTTTCCAATGATATTCTTTTTCTTGCATGCAGCAAACAACCTAAAACCTAAGAGAGCCTTGAACACGTTTCCCATGAACGGACTATTTCAAGACTAAATGCAACCCACAAAAAGAGGAATTGTAGATTCCGCAATTCCAGATTACAATTGTCACCAGCCGTCACACAGACTTAGCTGAGATCTGTTCAATTTGTACTGAGATTGAATAGAGTTATGAGCAAGGAAGTGAGTGGTGCAGTGAGTTAGAGCATTGGCCTTTTATATGTCAGACCAGGACCTGAATCCAGGCCAGACAGATGAGATGAAACACTCCTCTCTGTGAACTGTAGAAATTCTAAAAGACATTAATGTGGGCGCTCTTGATCTAATTTCCTGTGGAAAAGCAACAACATCCTTCTCCTCCCCATACACACAAACAAGTCATAATTCAGGCAAATAATTTCCAAGTGACAGCGTTGCTCTGAGCAGCCTTTGGGCATCTGGTGGAGGAAGTGGTGCTTTGAGAGGGTTGGGTTGAGGTCTATTTTGTGGCAAAGATGTTGGAGGCTTTTTCTGAGTTAATTTAGGCATTATTTGACTATGGGTTGTTCTAGGACTGACTATCCTCACTTACAGCACACAAGTTATTTTACCTCATTCAGCAATAATAACTTGCTTTTATATAGCTCCCTTCACGCCGGACGGTGTCTCGGAATACTTTTCATTCAAAAATACTTGCCAATCTGCACCCCAATACTCTCTGCGATTAGCTACCAATGAACATTCCATTCCAGACATGGGAATTTCCATGTGTAGGTGGAATGCATGGAAATCTCAGTTTGGTTTGGATACTGTTAAGCATGGTGATGGGTTGCCACATGTGTCAGACACCTGGCTGACCAAAACAAGCCTTAGCAATGACTCAAACTTTTTTTCTGCATCTACCAGCACCTGCACAGCTGACAGAGAGGAGATATTCATATGGTTATCCTTTTATGCTGTTCCTCTAAAGCCTCAATATCAATGCCGAAGAAAATCTTTGGAACAGTGGTTTAAATTGTGATTTTAAATATTATTTCCAAATATTATACCACATCCTGTTGTTTATGCACCCGAGTACACCAGGCAGCTGCTGGGGCAATGCTAATGGACCTTAATACTGTTAATGGAATTAGGGTTCGCAACGACTTCCCTCGCTCGTTCCCAGATCTTCTCTAAGGATGTAGTTTTCTAAGTCATTACAGGATGCTTCCAATAATCTAACTTTGTTTTTGTCAGTCCTGGAAAGAAACAGAATGAGCAATTTATTGATGTCACGAGTAATGAACAATATCCTCAGCATTCTAAGGGACTCCTTGTCTCTTTCAAATACTGTCCATTTATCACCAGACTTATGGTGCTCAGAACATGCGTGTTAGTGAGAGAACGAGCTGGGGGAGGGGGAGAGGTTACAGCTTGGGAAAGAAACCTTCTTTTTGCCCCCTGCTTGGGGCAGACAGAGTTGTTTCCGATGCAAATGTTTACTCGGAAGAGGTTGAAGGATATAAAGTTGAAACCTACGCTTGAGGATTTAAGGCAGAATGCAATGATGAGTGAAGTGAACTTGGTAAAGATTCTAAGGAAATAAGAGAAAACAACCAGCCTCTCTGTTTTCACTAGTTCTGTGACGTAGTTAACGTTGTGCTATTTATTTTCTTTCTGATAGTTTACTGGGCAACAGTGAAGCCTCTGTGTGAGTTATGGAGCCTCTGTGTGAACTGTCTGAATAAACCTGATGGCCTCACTAGCATCATTCCTGGTTGCTGAACCAGAGTCAATCCATTTCCTTGTCCACTGACGAGTCATACACAATAAGAAGACCAGTCTTTAACCTCCATGTCTTTGATAGACACTGAAACATAGCTGTGTCATCAAGATGTATTGCATAACACCGGGCTAACCCACATTTGCAGACATGGGGTCAACTTCTACATGTACGCAAATGACACCCAACTCTATCTCTCGGCCTCCACCCTCAACCCCAGGACCACTGATGCCCTGACATCAAGTTCTGATTGAGAGCCAACTTTCTACAGTTGAACATCAGCAAGACCGAGGCTCTCCTGATTGGCTTTCGTCAGTGCCTCCACACCTCAGACACTGGCAGCATCACCAGTGGAATTTTTGAACAAGGAATACTGCAAATAATTTGCAAACATCTAGATTTTGTACTTGTATAAGATCTGCATTTTATGAATTTGAGTGCAGTTTAGTTATGGTTCTGTGTGTGTCATCAGTAAAACTGACTGCTTCAGAGGCTGTGTGGAATGCAGGAATGTGCTGCTCTGCTGAGCAGTTTGAGCTGGGTCGGCTTGCTGCAGCAACAACATTAGACCCTCAAAATCCCTGCTGTTCACTTTCCCTGTATAAGAAACTCATTCAGCAGAAGGCTGCTGTGCCACTGGGCTACAAATTATAGTAGTATCCAAATAAGGAGTCCATGACAATGTGCCTCCCTCTGACTATTATTGCTTTATACCTGTTATACCTTCATTATATCGAGGCTCGACTATGCAAATTCACTGCTTGTCGGCTTCCCCAACTCCTCCCTCCACAGACTGTGGATCATCCAGAACTCTGCAGCCCGTGTTCTCTCCCGCACTAGGCTCTGCGACCCTATCACCCCCATCTTTGCCCAACTCCGCTGGCTTCCCATCACACAGAGGATACATTTCAAGATCCTGGTCCTCACCTTCAAAGCCCTCCACAGTCTTGCTCCCCCTTACCTCTCCGACCTCCTAACCCCTGTTCGCTCCCTCTGCTCAGCAGAATCCGGCCTACTTCATGTTCCCCTGCCTTGCTCACCCCACTATCAGCGGGCTGGCCTACCGGCACTCTGCACCCACCCACTGGAACTCCATCCCGCAGTCCCTCCGTCTCACCCCCTCCCTCACCACCTTCAAAACCCACCTCAAGACTCTTCTTCGACCGTGCTTTCGATCTCCAAGCTTCTCCTGTTGCCCTCCACCCTCCCCCACCCTGGGTCCATAACTCTGTCTGTCTAGCGCCCTGGAACGTCCCCCTGACGTGAAAGGCGCTATACAAATGTAATTTTGTTGTTGTTGTTTTGTTGCCAATGCTACGATGCTGTTCCATAAAAGTTAGTGATAGAGGATAGTTTTGTGATTCTCACCAATTTTCCTGCCTTCCCTCAGCTCCTCTATCTAAAGTGTTTGACCTTTTTTTCATTTCACCATTTCACTACAGTTCTGCTGAAGCCTTCAAAGGTGTTCATGTGTAATGTTCATGTTCATGTAAGCCTTGCCAGTCAGCAAACTCTGTGCACATAAGGGGAGAGTGTGGTGGAGTTGTCCAAGCTGAGCCTGATCCCGCTCTTATCTAATGTTTACACATCTGCACTTCCAGGGCATATTAGATAGTACAGCGGCCTGAGATGCCATCCTATATGAAAGGTGCTGTATAATTCCAAGTTGTCATTATTGTAGTAAGAGTTTTGAGACGTCCTCCCGATGTGAAAGGTGCTATATGAATGTAAATTATATTGTAATGGAGAATGGTAACCCTGGCTTCATTTTTATTTCTTTCCCTCCCCTGGATTCAAGACACTGAGGCTAATTGAACAACAACAACAAGATTCCATTTATAAAGCGCCTTTCACATCAGGAGGACGTCCCAAGGCGCTGCACAGTTGGGTCATGACCCAAGCAGGGGGGAAATGGTCAGGGTGAGGGGAGGGAAGATGAGAAACAGTCTCATCTCTTATCTGTGCACTCACCTACAAAATAAACAGTGACCACACTTTACAGTAAATTCCGTGAAGCTCTTTGAGACGTCCTCCCATGTGAAAGATGTTGTTATAATAATAATAATCCTTGCATTTGATATAGCGCTTTTCACGTCAGGAGGACGTCCCAAAGCGTTTCACAGAACACACTGTAAAGTGAATTGACTGTATATTTGTGGGCGAACGTTATATGCAAATACAAGGATTATTATTTAAACGGAGCCTAATGAATGTATTAGATTTACAGTAACATGGCATTTCTTACATTGATAGTGTGTATGTATTCTCTTCCTAGATTTGGTCGGTATTCCTGATTTCCAAGCAGGAGCCATGGAAAACTGGGGTCTAATCACTTTCCGAGAATCATTGCTCCTGTACAGTTATAACTATTCATCGATAATGGACAAACAAATGATTACCATGGTGATAGCTCATGAACTGGCCCATCAGGTATCTGACCCTAATCGCTAAATATAAAACTGAAATAACAGTGAGATCCTGTCACTCACACCTCTCACCTTCAGCAATCAAATATACCAAAGACAAAGAATGAAAGTGAGGGAAAGATTTTTGTAGTGTTATGAGGAGGACCAAATAGAGTGGAGCAGATTACCTTAGTTTAGGTAAGAGATAGTACTCAGAAAATGAATATTCAAAATGTAATAATGGGTGTATGCATATATACAGACCAATCTATCCTCCTCCACTGCCTCTCTCACCTCAACCTTCATGGTTCAGATCCTATCTCTCACACTGTCTCCACTTCATCTCCACAAACGGCTTTTCCTCTAACCCCTGCATCATTCTCGTGCGGTGTTCCTCAGGGCTCTTTCCATGGTCCCCTCCTCTTCAATGTCTAAATGCTCCCTCTTGGTGACATCATCCGCAGACATGAGGTCATTTCCACATTTATGCGGATGACACACAACTCTATCTCTGCCTCCGCCCTTGACTCCAGGAACACTGCTGTCCTGACAGAATGTCTGTCAGACAACAAGTCCTGGATGAGAACTAACTTTCTACATCAGCATCAACAAGACCGAGACTCTCCTGATTGGCTCTCATCAGCGTCTCCTCACCTCACACGCTGACAGCATCCCATCCAGGGAGGCACACTCCACCTCACTGAGCCAATCTTGTTTGACCCTCAAATATCCTTTTACCCCGCATCTGTGCCATGACCTGCTCTGCTTTCCCCCACCTCCGCAACATCGCCCGGCTCCACCACTGTCTCATACCACAGGCCACCAAGACACTTATACATACATTCATAACATATAATTTATCGAGTCCTGTAGCTCAGTTGAGTCGTGTAGCTCAGTGGTTAGAGCACTCGCTTTGTGCATTTCGCCCACAGATATACAGTCAATTCACTTGACAGTATATTCTGTGAAGCGCTTTGAGACGTCTAGAAGACGTGAAAAGCGCTATATCAAATGTAAGGATTATTATTATAACATCCAGGCTCGACTGCACAAACTCCCTGCTTGTCGACCTCCCCAACTCCTCCCTCCATAGGTTGCAGATCATCCAGAACTCTGTAGCCCGTGCCCTCTCACGCACCAAACTCTGCGACCCTATCACTCCCATCCTCGCCCGACTCCACTGGCTTCCATGACACAGAGGGTACAGCTCAAGATTCTGATCCTCACTTTCAAAGCCCTCCATGGCCTTGCTCCCCCTATCTCTACGACCTCCTAACCTCCTACCAACCTGCCTGCTCCCTCCGCTCAGCGGGCTCTGGCTTGCTTCATGTCCCCCACCTCGCCTGCCCCACCATTGACGACCGGGCCTTCAGCCACTCTGCCCCCACCCTCTGGAACTCCATCCTGCAGTCCCCCCGCCTCACCCCCTCCCTTGCCTCCTTCAAGACATGTTTCAAGACCTTCCTCTTCGACCCTGCCTTGGCTCATCCTCCTCCCCCTGCCCTCCACCCTCCGCAATCCTGACCCCCGGCTTGGGTCCGAAATACTTGACTGTCCAGCGCCTTGGGATGTCCTCCCAATGTGAAAGGTGCTATACAAATGTAATTTCGTTATTGTTGTTGTTGATTCCCTAAGCTGTGGGAGATATTTAGAACTGAAATTTTGCTGTTTTAAACCGATTTCAACATGAATCTGTTATGGATTGTCACAAATTTACCCCCAATATTTTTTTTCAGAAACAAAACAGTGATTTTAGTAATCCTCCACATTCTAACAACATTTGACTGTTGCAAGTTTCTGTCTGAGCTATGGCACTTTGACTCTTTCTATGTTAATTACAGAGCAGCGATATCATGTGCTGTGACATGAACAGCTCATTTATTCCATATCCCATGCTTGTTAGCAAGGAATGAATTGTCTTGTATGCAACCAACTTCTAATGAAATGACCGGTATATAACAACCTTGCAATGGTTATTCACGTGGAAGCAGATCTTTGGCCTGTGCCAAATATTTCTACTGTGATAATAAATACATTTCAATTTTCTTTTAGATTTGGCAAAGTAAGTTATACTTTAAATGATCCTTCCTACTAAAACTGGAGCCTAATTGAGATGAAGTCTCCCAATTTCTGATGAGTTTTATTTTTTGGGAAATGTTTTATAATTTTTCTTTACATCATTTCTGCAGATGGGACTCATGCTTTCCGTGTTTCGCCCACAAAATACAGCCGTCCACTTTACAGTATATGTGAAGCACTTTGAGTGGTCTCAATGACGTAATAAGGTGCTAGATCAAATGCAAGGATTATTATATTGCTCTAGTGTGCAGCTGCGGCTTATAATTTACGATTTGATTCAAAGATTGATAGAATTCAATAGGTTGGACGTGAAAGGGAACCGGTGAGGGACATGAACAATATGCTTCAAACTTCTGAAGTTGAACATCTGAAGTGTGTAGAATGAGTGGGTGGTTTGCCCGGTAATCTCACTGGAGCTTGACGACTCCAGCAAATCTGAACACTTGATAAAACTCACCAAACTCATGTTTGTACCACACTAATGAAATACATTGTTGCTAAAAAAATTAATTATCTTAGCTCTGACCTTAACCTGCTCTACATCACAGGAACTAGTTGAAGTTTTAGCATATGCTTTCCAATCTTTCCTACACATAATTACAATAACAGTGACAACAACTTCACATAGGATAATGTCTTGGAGCGTTTAACAATGACTGGTTCGGAAGCCAAGCAAGGAAGAAAAGAGAAAGGGGAGAGAAAATGGGAGGTAGCCTTTGGCACAGTCGAACAGGGAGGTTTTAAGGCAGGATATAAAGATGGATGGAGAGGGGGCAACGTTCAGACCATGCTAATGCCTATTTTAGGAGCCATTCATCACATCCAGGCTTGACTATGCTAACACCTGCTTGTCGACCTTCCCAACTATTCCCTCCACAAGCTGCAGATCATCCAGAACTCTTCAAAGCCCTCCATGGCCTTGCTCCTCCCTACATCTGTGACCTGCTAACCCCATATCAACTTATCTGCTCCCTCCACTCAGTGGGTTCTGGCCTACTCCATGTTCCGCGCCTGGAAGAGTTGTCCACTAATCTGTTAATTTTGGTAATTATTTTCAACATCTCAATCAAATCACCTATTAATCTTGTTTGCTCTAAGGAATATAATCCCTGTGAAAACAGCCTCTCATCATAGACCTTTAGCCCAGGTATTAATCTGGTATCTAATGAACCATTGCTGGACACCCTCCAAGGCTAGTTTATCCTTAAGACAGGTGCCTTGGAACGTCCTTCCGACGTGAGAGGCATTATTTAATGTAATTTGATGTTGCTGTGCCCTAAACTGAATACATTTCCGGGTATATCTGTGTTCAGTTTTGGGCACAACAATAACTACCAAATGAGGTCTACCAAGCCCTCTATATAAATGGAGAAACACCTCCTTACTTTTATATTCCAGACCGTATGAAACAAGTTCTTTCCGCAGCAGTCGTCTTCTGATTGCTCTTTAACATTACTTGTCATATGCAAGAGCTGTTTTTACCTGGACTGTTTTGTCTTCTCAGTGGTTTGGTAACTTGGTGACAATGGAATGGTGGAACGACCTTTGGTTAAATGAAGGCTTTGCCACCTTTATGGAATTTCTCTCACTTGAAAAGATATACCCAGAACTCCAAGTGGTGAGTGAAATAAGTGTAATTTATCATTTTTCATCATACTAAGTGCGATCCATTACAACCACATTCTGCTTTGGAGGAGTATAACCTGGTTGTGCCTTATATTGAGTTATGTTAGGAAATTTAAAAAATTGGCATGTGTCACTGATTTACATATTTACATAGAATATTCAGCACATTAACAGGCCATTCGGCCCAACTGGTTCACACCTGTGTTTATACTTCACATGAGTCTCCACCCACTACTTACTCTCCCATACCCTTCTGGGTGCGCCAAACTGAACACAGTTCATCTGTATATCTATGATCTTCAGATTTTGCCCAGAGATTGGTGACAATCACACTTATCCGAAGCTGGATTGCTTTCTCTATTGCTGTTGAATTGCTTCTCTTGCTCTAATGGTATTGCATTCCTTTATTTCTGTTCACTGTTTATAGGCTGACAGATTTTTACAAAGACGTTTCCTGGCAATGGACAAGGATTCTCTGAACTCATCCCACCCATTGTCCACTCCTGTTGAAACCGCAGAACAGATTGAGGAGATGTTCGATACAGTTTCTTATGATAAGGTACCAATACGATTGGATTTGTAAATCATCTGGTCTCTCTTAGTGTGTTATACAATAGTGTGTAAATGACAGGATTGCCAACGAGAGGAAGAATGTGGTTCAGATTCTGGCTTTCCACCAACAGGGCCAATACATTAGAATGTACAGCACAGAAACAGGCCATTCGGCCCAACTGGTCTATGCCGGTGTTTCTGCTCCACATGAGCCTCCTCCTGCCCTTCCTCAACTAAGCCTTCAAGCATAACCTTCTATTCCTTTCTCCCTCATGTACCTATCTAGCCTTCCCTTAAATACATCTATGCTAGTTTCCTCAACAACTCCTTGTGGTGGCATGTCCCACATTTCCACTGCTCTCTGTGTGAAGAAATTTTTTCTAACTTCCCTATTTGATCAATTTGTGACTATTTTATATTGATGGCCCCTGGTTTTGGTCTCCTCCACAAGTGGAAACATCTTCCGTATGTCTACGCTACAATACAATATGTGTAGTGCCTTTCACATTGGGAGGATGTCCCAAACCACTTCACAATTCTAGCTGTGCCTGGAGCTGAGGGTGGGAGCTAAGGAGGGCGAACAAGAGAAAGATGCTCGAAAGCACAGTCAAAGAGGTGCATTTTGAGGCGTACTTTGAAAAAGGGAAGGGAGGGAGTAAGTCAGAGGGACCTGGGAATGGAGTTCCAGAGAGTAGGTGCCAAGTGGCTGAAAGTCCGCCTATCAAAATGGGTAAAAAATTATTCAAGCACTTGTCGATTTCAGCCCTCACATTGTATCATTCCAACAACTTAAAAGTGTAATTTCATTTGGCTTATATGTGCCTTTCTGAAAAACTATTTTCATGTTGCATTTTCTGCCATCAATAAATAATGACAATGAACAATCCTTGCATTTAATACAATGCCTATAACATCAAGAATATCTCAAAGCACTTCACAAAGTTTCTATAAAGTGTGTGATAATGCCCGCAGACAGCCATGAGATGAGTCATCAATTTAACTGCAAGGTCAGGACTCTGGGAGAAACTCCCTTCTCTTTCTGATTGAGTCAGCATATCTTTGACATCCACCTGAACAATTAACAATATTGTTTAGTGTAAATACATTACTACCAGAAGTACTGCAGAACTTTCCTGTGAATGTGCAACTGTAAGGGGAAAGTTCCAGAGGTGACTGAAGACACGGTCACCATTGGTGGCATGGAGGGACCTGTGTTTGCTGAACGATGGGGGTGGGCAGTGGAGTGAGCTACAAGCAGGTCAGAGTGGTAGGGAGGTGGTTGGATGAGGATCTTGCAATCGATCCTTTCAGTAATTCAGTAAACTATTGATTCGAGTGATCAGTTCTTTCCCTTTTTACACTAGGGAGCTTCCATTCTTTTGATGCTGAAGGACTTCCTGTCTGAAGACACTTTCCAACAAGGAATTATGAGATACCTGATGGACCACAAATTTGGAAGTGCTAAAAATGAAGATTTGTGGAACAGTATAGCGAAAGTAAGTGTACTTAGTAATACTTATTATGAATACAACATATTTTGTAATGTAGATGATGATTGGTCTCCAGCTCTTGCAGCACTATCATGTCTAATCCTGTAACAACATCAACTGATAAAATTTATAACATTTATTTCATTTATGATCACATATTTTGTAGTGGAAGATGTTCAGGTAAATACAGAACAACTGCATTGTGATGGGGTGGTCTGGGTCTGTAGGCTCGACAGCAACAACAACAAAATTACATTTGTATAGCGCCTTTCACGTCGGGAGGACGTCCCAAGCTCAGACTCTTACGTTAAAGGAATTGTAGGAAATGGCTGACTTTCTGTTTGGTCAGGTCAGTGCTGATGACACTTCCTACACGTCTGCTGCTACATTCAGGAAGAGTCACTGATGTCATTTTGTGTGCATCACACATGTGGATTATGCACAGCCTGCAGGAAGTGACTTCAGCGGTGACCTGACATCCCAGAAGTCAGCTATATGGAAGTCACGTACAGCGTGATGCCTGATAAAGGGGTCTTGCTGTATTTAGTTGTATTAGAAAAGGAAGAGAGCAATCACTAGAAGAGAGGCATCAATAAATCAAAATAATAGTTTGGAAAAAGAGCTATCCAACAAAATGATGTCAAGTAAGAGAGAATAAGGAAATGAAGAGAATCCAAATGACATTAGCTAAAAACTAATTTACACTGGAAAGTGATGTTTGGTGACGGATTTAGCTGAATACTGGATTAATACAGAACACAAGTTGCAATCTGCTTTACTCTGCACCTGATAAAGTTCTGCTATTCCCATTGGCTGATAATGTGCAAATTGAATCCACTTGTCAACTATCTTCATCCTTCAGGATACAGTTCAAGATCTTGATCCTCATCTTCAAAGCTCCGGCCTGCTTCGTGTCCCCGCCTCACCCGCCCCACTATTGGTGGGTGGGCCTTCAGTCTCTCTGCCCCCACCCTGTGGAACTCCATCCCAGAATCCTTCATCCTCGCCCCCTCCCCTGCCGCCTTCAAGATCCGTCTCAACATCCTCTTCTTCAACCTTGCCTTCGGTCACCCTCTTATCCCTACCCTCCCCGCCCTCCATCCCTCATGAACCCAACCACCAGCTCGGGTACAGATCCCTGACTGTCCAGCGCTTTGGGACGTCCTCCTGACGTGAAAGGCACTATACAAATGTATTTTGTTGTTGTTGTCCACTTATCAGCATTGAACTCCAATGCAGATAACTCAGCATTGTAAGATACAAAAACACTGCATGTATTCGTGCAAGATTTCTAGGGCTGTCACTCACAAAGCACACTAAACTGGCAGCACAGAGGTAATAATAATCCTTACATATGATATGGCACCTTTTCACATCATCAAGACGTCTCAAAGTTTATCACAAGTTTTCATAAGTGTTTATTTAGTAAGGGGAGAGAATCAGAGCAAGAGGTTGTGATCGTGCCTTTCTCATAATGACCTAGAAGGAGCTGAATGCTAACCTAGGCTGCTAGTTGTGTGTGATTAACAATATTCATAGCTGTGCCAAAACTCTTGAGAATTTGAGTACCGACTGGATTGAAAACTTGTCTCTTTTGAGAAGATGGAATACCTATTTGTTTGTCTTTGCAGCAGCACAGAAATAGTGTTTTAAAGCAGATCTTTATTCTGCAGAAGACAATATGAGAAACAAAATGACTATGATATTTCTGCCTTTACTTCACCAAGTAACTGGCTGACTCCTTCTGTAAGATTAAACAGTTCCTTCATTCCAAACTGGTGTTAAAAAGATAATAATCATAATAATAATACTTGCATTTGATATAGCACTTTTCACGTCTTCACGGAATATACTGTAAAGTGAATTGACTGTATATTTGTGGGCGAAACGCGGCAGCCAATTGCGCATATCAGTGTCCCACAAACAGTTGTGGATTGAAATGACAAATTTATTATTTTTTTCTCTTGAGGGATTATTATCAGGCCTGTGGAGTAAGGAGATAGCAAACATGAAGGTTAGAAATAGAGTGAGAGATGGAGACTTGGTGAGAGAGAGAAAATGAGTTACTGGTGAGAGAGAGAAGACCATGCACATTGTGATCACTACCATAGTGATGTAACTTCTGATGAAGGAATTTTTGGTTAACACTGTTGCTGATCGCACCTGAAGACCTTTCCTCTCTCCCCAGCTCAGCATCAAACTACGCCATTGTTCAGCAAACCCATGTAAAGGGCACTACTCTATATAAAGGGCATCAATGTATATAAAGGGCAGTACTGTATATAAATGCAACTTATTGTTGTTGATTTGTATTTTGTGCTATGACCAATTATCCATACTATTTCCTAACCAAAATGGGACCAGTCCAAATTGTTGCAGATAATCAGCTCTCGACATAGATTACATGATCGCCTACCCCAAAATGTTGCTTACCTTCCTGATTGGGCGGGGGAGGGAATCAACAACAACAAATGACATTTGTATAGCGCCTTTCATACCAGGAGGACATCCCAAGGCGCCAGACAGTCAAGGAGTTGGGCCCGAGCTGGGAATTGGGATCAGGAGGGGTGGAGGGCAGGGAAGGTGGGGGTAGGAGGGTGACCTAAGGTACGTTTGAAGAGAAGGATCTTGAGAAGGACTTTGAAGGAGGTAAGGGCAGGAGCGAATTGAACAGTTGAACTTCATCTTTTCTCGTCCAATGTTTATTGCATGCTTATTTTCAAAAAACACTCACTGAATACTAAGCAAGAATGGAAATACTGAATGCTTATTTCCAACAGTAGTCAGTGCACTGTTTTCTTTCACAGATTAAAGATCATGATTTAGATGTGAAAGAAATGATGAAAACATGGACACTGCAGACTGGATTTCCCCTGGTCACTGTTAAGCTGGACAAAGCTGCCAAGAAAATTTACATCAGCCAAGAGAGATTCCTCAAGACAGTTATGCCCCAGGATCCAGCATCTTCAACCAATTCCAGGTACAAGTCACACAAATGCTGAAAATAAATTTAAAGCTTGAGGTTAGAAATATTCAGCTCTGTTCTCTGGCTGAAGAGATTGGGATCAAAGTGAAAGGTGTCAGATACATCTGACTATCCGACTCAGCTAAGTGCTGCATAATGCATTTTGTTTATAAAATACATATTTATTTAATGACGGGTTATTTTTCCAAATCTCCTACAATGGAGTCCTGATGATCTGGTTCCATAAAATCCCATCCATGCTCTAGCAGGTTTAACTGCATCGTTCAGTTTAGAAACATAGAAATCTACAGAGCAGATGAAGGCCATTTGGCTCATCGAGTCTACACCGACTCACAGAGAAGGAGATCAATTCAACCCCATTGCTCTGCCTTATCCCCACACCCCTTCAAGCTCCCCTCTTTCATATGCCTATAATAGTATATAATAATTCTTGAAACTGATATAACTTTGTCAAGATGTCTCAAAGCACTTCACAGGATATACTGTATAGTGGTTTTGACTGTGTTTTGTGAGTGAAAAGTCTTAACTGCTTTGCAAGTGTTCTTCTGAGGTTAGGCATAAGATCAGGATTATCATTGGAGATTTGAGGAAACCCTTTCAAGTAGAGCATTCTTTGCTAAAAGAAAAAAACTTCAGGATCATTGGGTCTTTGTCAACGTCCCTCCCCATTTGCTGGACATGTGTGAAACAGGAAGTGATGTTAGCAGTGACCTTATGATCTGAAAGTTGGCCAGTTTTAGCAGCAAGCTAAAAATGGGCAACTTCAAAATCAATAAATCATCAACAACATTACTTCCTGCTTTGCGAATGCGCAGCAAACGGGACGTGACGTCGACACTGACTTATTGACCCTGAACCCTATATCAAATGCAAGGATTATAAGTCAGCCATTTTAGCACCATTTGGTTTGTGGCAAGTGAGCAGGTCAGCAGTGCACCTGCATAGTGAAGGGGTCCCCAGTAACTGCATCATAACTGAATTTGCACTCTAGTGAAGCGTGTTATAGCAAGGCTGCCGGGGACTACCAGTGGATGTGGAATATGGAAACATGTCCTACTGGAAATGGACCTGGTGTAGAAAAAAAGACTGGGCATAGCACCCTGTTGAGCACTCGTGGTCTGAGAAGTCTGGTGGAGAGGATAAAAAGCTGAACACTGCCAAAGGGAGCCTGCATTTCTGAAATCAAGGTTAAATTGTTGGGCTTAATTTGCATGTTGGGTTAACAATATGCAAACACATATAAGTGCATGTAATTATATGATTAGTAACCAATGTAAAGGATTACAGAATTCACAGCACCAGTATATTTGTATATAGTTAATCTGACCCACAATTTTTTCACAGAGTTTGAGAACGCAGCATGCAATTTAGATCCATTACTTCACTATAGCACAAATTTGCTAATAATGTGGTTGTATTGTGGACGCCATTCTCTCATTGTCAGCAAAGCAGGCCCACTCACTTCCCTCACACCAGAACAGAAAGCAGGAAGCTAACACTGTAGGCAGCCTTCACTGTCCCTGACAAGGAAATAGTTAATGTAGTTATTGGTCTCTCTTGAGTGAAATATGCACACTTATATTCTCCAGCACTACCTAGCAATTCTCCAAACATATAATTGACCTTAAGAAGAACACAAACTTTAAACAATCTTGAGTCAAGCAATGTTCCCAAATGAAACTAAATTATTAAACTCCTCAGTGTCCTGGCTATCTGAAAACACTTGGTGACTTTCTGTTCAAGGTTGATCTGCTGAGCTCCACGGTGCTACATGATATTGCTCTGCTGAGAACAATTGGTTTTGCCTCTCCCCTTTAATTCTGACCTCTGGTGTTCTTTAATTGCCGCCTTGTCCCATAAGGAAGGTTTTATGGTTTATCTAATGATTACATGCAGTTTAGTTCAGATAAACACAGGAGAGAACTAAGGCAATGCGCTTCATTCATTAACTCTTTACTGCAACACTATTGTATATTATAGTGAGGTGTCTGGCAGCTTTATCTGGCTCATTCAACCTGATAAATATCACATCGAGTTCTGATTCAGGATTATTTAACAGGAGCAGCAGAGTATGTCTGAAGAATCTCAAAGAATGATAAGGTAACTCAACCAGATTGGACACATTCTGGGATCCTCAAAGAAAATGTATAATGAGTCACTATAGTACAATAAAGTGTAATCTGGTTTGAACTTCAAAATTCTCCACCCTGTGTTTAAGGATAGGATATTGTGGTATAATTTGCTACTCATGTGACCTTGAACACATCGAACAGGCTGGAGGCAGAACCACAAGTCTTGGGCTACGCTTTGTGGACTTCACTGCTGAGCACGGCCTGTGGAGGGGAAGCTTTATCTGGCTCATTCAACCTGATAAATATCACAAGGACCACAGAGTTCACTGCATTTTGAGATGTGCTTTGATTCATTTAGACCTTTTAACAGCCTAATACCTTAATCGGGATCCTGAATGCGTCATGCTTGAACAAAATGGAAGGGGTTGAACCTGTGCCTTTGATTTCCTCAGCTCCCTGTGGCACATCCCACTGACGTACATAACCAGCAGCTGCAGCAATTATAAGGATTCCAATTGCATCAAAAAATGGCTTCTTAAGGAAAAAACAGGTAACTGGCTGTGACTTCAGGCAATAAAATACATTTCAGCCTCTGCTCAACGAGTTAGACCAGTGCTGTGATGAGCAATTTGTCAAGTTTTACTGGAGCTATGGCAGATGATGAGGCAGAGTTTACATTGCTAAACAAGGCCGCGAGAATATATTTTGATTACTGCTGTCTCCTTCCGGATGTCTTTAGCTATATTCTTTTACAAAATGAAACCTCCTTACTGGTTCCGTCAACCCCACTATGTCTCATCTATCAGTTTCTTTTCCTGCCCCCACGTGGTCACATCGAACACTAAATGATATTGGTACCGGACAGAATGGGAAAGGAACAAAGTAATTGCAGTATAGAATCATTGTTGTACGTTTTACAAATTTGAGATAAACATGACAGCTCTAATATAATCATGAAGATATTGCAGCTAAACTCTTAGTTATCAGTGTCTAGTCTTAGCAATGATGCCAGGGAATTTCATAAAAATTTTGATGTATTTTACCTTCCATCAGGCACCATTGATTTTACGGAACCAGATGTGACCTGGGTGAAGTTTAATCTGAATACAAGTGGGTATTACGTGGTATATTATGAAAACTGTTCAGAGGAATTAATACAATTATTACAAAAGAATCATACAGTACTCAGCGACCACGACCGAGCGAGTCTCATCAACAATGCTTTTGGACTTGTAAGGTAATTGTCTGGCTTGATTCTGTTTCTCCTTCGTGTTATTGCTGACTATGTTCAGTATGCATTATGGCACACTTGCTACTTGATACAGTTGCAAATTGTTAATTGACACCACTGTGTTGTATCAGTCAGGTGTGGTCAGTAGCTGGGTTTGAAACCAAGAAAGACCGCACTTTCAGTGATCTGCCACCAGCTCAGTTGTCCAGCCAGCTTTGTCAAGAGCTTCGAGACGTCCTCCTGACATGAAAAGCAAGAGAGGAGACGTTTAGGGGGGGGGACCTGATAGAAGTATTTAAAATTATAAAAGGATTCAATAAGGTTAACATAAACAGGCTGTTTCCACTGATTAGGGAATCCATATCCAGAAAACACAAATATAAGATAGCAACTAGGAAATCTAAAAGAGAATTTAGGAGGAACTACTTCACGTGGAGGGCAGTGAGATTATGGAAATCGCTGCTTGAAGCAGTGGTCAAATCAGACAGTGTAGATGCATTCAAGAGGAAGCTTGATCTTCATGTGAGGGAGAGGGAAAGAGAAGGGTATGGGAGGGAGTAAGAAATGGGTGAGGACTCATTTCAGTATGCTGGACATTTAAAAAAAAAGCTTGATGCTGTGATGGGAAGACAGTAGGTAGTCTGGAAGGATGAGCTTAACAATGGTGGAGCCTGACACCAAGCCAGGGTACGGTCAAAGAAGAAGGTCTTCAGGCATGATCTGAAAATGGGGAAGGAGGGGGAAAAGCTGAGGGATTGAGAGAGAGCGCTCCAAAGTTTTAGGACGTAGTGGCTGAAATCACAGAGGGAACAAGGGACAAGCAGGAGGTTAGAGGCAGCCAAGCAGAGGCGGTGAGTGGTGGAGTGCTGAGTAAGCAGGTCAGAGAGGAGAGTGAGGTGCTAGAGCATGAAGGTATTTGTAGATGAGAATGAGGATCTTGAAGTTGAGTTCTACAGTCTTAATGACTATGTGGCATTTTAATGAGTCCGGATTCAATGAAAATCATTCAAGCTATTGATACTGTTTTGTATGTCACATTGTCTTAAAAATGCATCCCCTGCATTGTCTCAACTGATGTTTCTCTCTTTTAGCTTAGGCAGAATCCCACTGGGAGAAGCACTTCACCTGACCAAATATCTTAAGAATGAAGTTTGCACTGCCCCGGTGACTGAAGCATTGGGTCAGTTCAACTACATCTACAATCTTGTGCAGAGGAGAGGGCTGCTGGATCTCGCTGGCCGGATGAAGGTATTTGCTGCTATACTTTACATCAAAATCCCACTTAGAAATAGTTTTGCTTTCTTCATCAATTTTTAGAGTTCCTTGTCCACTCACTGTGCTTTTTGGACTTTGGCTTGCTCTATGTCGCCCACCCGGCCCACCCCACCATCAGCGGTCTGGCCTTCAGTCTCTCTCTGCCACCATCCTTTGGAACTCCACCCCATATCTCGACCTCTCCCTTACCTCCTTTAAGGCTCATCTCAAGACCCTCCTCCTCGACTGCACCTTTGGCCACTCTCCTACCCCTACCCTTCCTGTCCTCCATTCCTCTTGATCCCAACCCCCAGCTCGGCTCCGAATCCCTGACTGTCCAGCACCTTGGGACATCCTCCTGACATGAAAGGTGCTATACAAATGTAATTTGTTGTTGTTCCCCAGCCCCCTTCTCCTCTGTTCCTCAAGTTCTGCTATCAGCAGGCTATTCAGCCATAAAGGGAGGAGAGAGGACAGCATTGGAACCTAGCCTTGCCTGAGATCAGCTAAAGAATAATGTCAGCATCCCAGGTTGGGGAGGCAAAGAGAACGAGAACAGGAAAAAAATATTAGCTGGGCAAGGTTTGCCATTTGCTAGCCCCTCTTGCTTGTAATGCACATCAGGTGAAGTAATGGTCAGGCTTAACTGCATTACCAATTATGGTTCAATAGCCTGCTGACACTCGCTAACTCACTAAAATACAATAGCAATGTGGAGGATGTGGTCTCACAGCCATAGTTTCGCCCCCACCCACCCCAAGAAGGAATTCCTCAGGGCTCTGTCCTTGGTCCCCTCCTCTTTAATAATATAATACTCCTTGCATTTGATATAGCGCTTTTCACGTCGGGAGGACGTCCCAAAGCGCTTCACAGAACATACTGTAAAGTGAATTGACTGTATATTTGTGGGCGAACACGGCAGCCAATTGCACACAGCAATGTCCCACAAACAGTCGTAGATTGAAAATGACCAATTTATTATTGCTTTTGGTTTTGGAGGGATTATTATTAGGCGTGTGGAGTAAGGAAACTTGCCCAAGGTTTCGCCCTCTGCCTGGAATTGAACTCAGGTCTCTCGATTGCAAAGCGAGTGCTCTAACCACTGAGCTACAGGACTCCACATCTATGTAGCTCAGTGCTCTAACCACTGAGCTACAGGACTCCACATCTATATACTCTTTAACATCTATACGCTCCCTCTTGGTGACATTATCTGCAGACATGGAGCCAACGTCCAAATGTATGTGGATAACACCCAACTCTATCTCTCTGGCTCCACCCTTGACTCCAGGAACCACTGCTGTCCTGACAGAATGTCTGTCAGACATCAAGTCTTGGATGAGAGCTAACTTTCTTCAGTTGAACGTCAACTAGACCGAGGCTCTCCTGATTGGCTGCGGTCAGCACCTCCACAGCTCAGGCGCTGACAGCATCACCATCCATGGATGCACACTCCACCTTACTAAGCCAATCAGGAACCTTGCATCTTGTTTGACCCTCAACTATGCTTTCTACCTCACATCCGTGCCATGATTCGCTCTGCCTTCCCCTACCTCCGCAACATCGCCCGGCTCCACCACTGTCTCACACCACAGGCCACCAAAACCCTCATACATGCATTCATAGCATCAAGGCTTGGCTATGCAAACTCCCTGCTTGTCGGTCTCCCCAACTCCTCCCTCCATAGACTGCAGATCATCCAGAACTCTGCAGCCCGTGTCATTTCCCGCATCAGGCTCTGTGACCCTATCATACCCATCCTCGCCCGACTCCACTGGCTTCCCATCACACAGAGGATAGAGTTTAAGATCCTGGTCCTCACCTTCAAATCCCTCCATGGCCTTGCTCCCCCCGACCTCTGTGGGCCACATGCAGAGTAACATAGAAAAAATGCTAATTCTAATTGTATCAAATGTATATTAATTCAGTATCTGAGTATCTGAATGCGGGGTGGTCCAACAGTTACATTTGTGATGAATAATCAGTGTTTTGTGTGGTATTTGAGAAAAGAAAATGTTAAATACGAGTTCAGAATAACCATTAAGACTTAATTTAGGGCGGACTGCTTAGACTAAATATATCTTTGTGTTTTTAGAAAAACGTCTTTGACTTATTTGGAAAGCTGATCGATAAGCAAACCTGGAGTGACAATGGATCATTTTCTGAACGACAACTTCGTTCCACACTTCTTTCTGCTGCTTGCAATTATGACTATAATGAATGCATCCAGAATGCAACCTTACTATTTAACAATTGGACAAAATTGCAATCCACAGACTTGTAAGTAACCAGTTCACCTATATGGTTATCATCCTCCTGCATTGGGGTTTTCACTGACACATTATGTATCAACATAGTACTTTTATTAGTTATGAGTTGTAGTGAACACCTATTCACTGTTTCCTACCATAACAATATTCTATTTATTTTCAATACTTGCCTTAATACCTACCTCCTTGACCATGCTTTTGATCATGTGTCCCTCCCCACCACCTGCCCTCTTTATCTGTGTGTGTCCTCCTCCTACTCTCGCCCGCATCCATCTTAACTCAGTTAACCAGCCAGCTGTGTTAAGCATTTTGAAACATCCTCCTGACATGAACAGCGCTTCATAGATATTGTATTGTACCTCATCAAACATATTGAGGAGTCAGCAATACGAATCCAGGCTATTTATTTTCTTGTGTCTCGACTATGAGCACTAATTCAACATGTCTTTTGTAGTAAAATTAAACCTTAAAATACAACTTTTTATGCTCACTCCTTATTTTGAGGTTCCATAGTTTCCAATGTTTCCCAACATTTACTTTAGCTGGTCTGCATAGATAATTTGGTGTCAGTCTGGTTGACTTGATAGCTCTCACCTCTGAGTTAGGAAGTTGCAAGGTCAAGCCCCGCATCAAGACTTTGAACTCACAGTTTAGGCTGACACCCCATTACTGTACTGGGGGAGCTCTGCATTGTTCAAGGTGTCACCCTTCAGATGAGATGTCAAACCAAGGTCCCACTTGAATATGTCGGCAGACATTAAAGACTCCTACAGGACATAGAGGTCCCAGTGTGAAAGCTGTACAAGGATAATTGATACAAGGATTATTATTATAACGTCTCCACATCTTATTAACTTTCACAGCTCTTCAGTTTTTCACGTGTTCAATGTTGTTTTAATTTGCAATTTCAGCTTACCTACGGACCTCATAAGCACAGTCTTCATGATTGGATCTCGTACCTCAGAGGGTTGGGATTTCTCTCTGAAGGTGTACACTCATTTGCAGTTGGATTCAGAGAAACACAAAATCCTGATGGCTTTGGCAAACACCGAAAACGTCAAACAGCTGGTCTGGTTTGTAGAACACCATCTCTACCATGCATTCTCATGCCTAGAAACTGCGATGGTAAAATAAACAATCATGTAAATGAATGTGAGAAACACGTTGTGAAAACGGTAATTGATGTGAATGTAACTGATACCACGCCACGATTGCATATCCATTAAAAGCTAATGAGAATAAAATAATTGAACAAGCATTTAATTACACTGTTAAACAATGTTCTTTATTATTTCTGACAAATGAGACTATTCACACCCAGGCCTGAATATAATATTGAGAACATCCCTTGTTTATTTTGATGCCCTTCAGCATTCCAAATATAGAAAGATTACTGGCTTATTTCTGATTGCTACAGATTTGAGTTCTGGAGGGATATAGAGCATATGAGACTGCATTCGTCCTTAAAGAAAGATTCTTCTTTAATGGCTTCCAAATGGGCTTCCATATTCTATTAATCCTATTGGTATAACACAATGCTAAATGTTGGTGCATTCATTTATATTTAGAACATCATATTTTACCAACTATATTCTGAACATAAAATATAACATTTGAGCTCATGCATTCTTTGTGCATTATTGGACTAAGATCATTAACTTAAAAGGGAATTGGGTAAATATTTTTGGAGAAACAGTATTACAGAGTACAGAGAAAGAGCAGGGATTAGGAATTAGAATAGAAAGCTCCAGTGAGGAACTAAAAGCCTGATGGGAGAATGGCCTCCTTTTGTATTGTAATTTCTATGATTCAGATTGGCAGGTCACTAGGCAGTAAAAAACAAACACATTTTTCCTCCTTCTTTGGATGCAGTTTTGGGGTTGAACCCGATAGTGGAAGCCTTCAGAAATGTCAGCAACATTCACTGTTTGAACAAGTATTTCAAAAGTTGACCGAACAAAATAAATTAGAAACAGTATTCTGGAAATGCATAATGATCCAATCAATATTTGAGCGAGAAAACTATATTCTTAAGATTAATGATTGGGTGATTTCCAAAGATGGATGCTTGGTTGAAAATTAGACAAAAGTTATAATTGACCAACCAGACCTTCAGTTAAACAAATATAACCCAGTTTGGAGGACAGTTTTTAAATTTCTGAAATTATTAAGATCATGTTATGGTTCTAACAGGCTAATATATATGGAGCTCAACCCTTCCCAGTTGAAGTATTGAAGCCAACAAGATACTGACCTGCAAATGTGAACAGGATATTTATTTTCTTTCTTTCCTAGGTTATTGCAAAATAGTTTGAGCAATAATATAATAAAGGCACATGAATTGCCCTACATCCTTGACATTGCAAGCAAAAATGTAGTTGGATACCTCCACACCTGGGATTTTGTTAAAGAAAAATGGGATCCTTTAGTTAAAAAGTAAGTTCCTGTTCATATTTTTCATTAATTGTGTCTCTCTTCTGCCCTTCTCACTTAAAGGCAATTGACCATTTTCTTTTTACTAAGCTAATGCAATAGATAGATGAATAGAACACATTGCTATAGATAGGTAAATGGAAACTTAAGAGAATTTCATTATACTGGCAATGATTATAGCAGAATAATGATAATGTAATTCTCTGTATAAGAAACTTTAATCTATAGGTGTGTTACTGTGAAATAAGGTGACTATGTTACAAATAAATGCTATTATAGTTATGAAGCAGAATTCTGAGTGATTTGAGAAAGAGAATATAATTCTAAATATTTATTCGGGGTTTCCCAGGAGAAGCTCTCCTATAATTTAATTTGCACCTTGACAAAAGGGATTTGAATTACTATTTGTAAGTATTCTTATTGGAATGAATTATAACATTTACGTATTTCATTTTGATTTTATTTTATTATAGATTTCATCTTGGGTCGTCTGCTTTGCAGAAGATTATCACTGAAACAACACAGTTTTCAACAAAAATGCACCTGTTAGAGGTCAGTGGTTATAAAAGGTTTGGAGATTATTAACCGTGCCTGTAGACATTAGAGGTCTAAATTCTAGTTGGTGTTAGACTTATCGCATTTGGTGATTTCAGCTACGACTAGGACTTCCCCATTATAATCACATATTGCCAGAGACACTATCTGTAGATTTGACCAGAATTTGAATGTAACCTTGTTTCAATTTAAGAAAGAATTTTATCTTTAGAGTATGCAATAACAATGACCTGAATGTGATGATGCATAAAATTCCTGAGTGGATGGTTCAAAATTTGTATGTGGCATTGGGGCTGGACTAAATAAGAGGAACATGTTTTCTTTCAAAATACATTGTGTGTTTAGTTGTTGAAAGCAGAACTGGAAGGTAAATTATAATCAGTTCAGTTTACAGTCCAGACACCAGTGAGGAATCCTATATCTGTGGTTATATGAAACATGTAAAGCAAAGGTATATTTTCTGGATGAAAAGTTGGCCAAGGGTATTTTTAGTAGGATTAGGAATTAGGAATAGAAAATATTCTGAAAACCAAAATATCAACTATGTGACTAACTGATATACCATTTTACTTTCCTTTTGCTGCTAGATTAGTCATACTTGTTATTTAACTTTAACCCTTGGTCAGTCTGGTGAAGCCAGTCCATTTTTGCTGAGTGGTTACAGATGTTCTTTGCTCATGCACTGAAAAAAGAGTAATATTACACTAATATATTAGTTACATTTATTAGTATTATAGTGATACTTTATTGAAATCATTACATTTCAGCAATCAGAAAATTCTTTCGTACAGAATACCATAGAATTTATCATAGAATTCTGTTGCTCTGATAGCTGGTGCAGATTTAATGGGCCGATTGGCCTCCTGCACTGTAAGTCTCATGACGTTATTCTATGATTCACAGCAGAAGGCACTCACTCAAGCCTCTGTCAAATTACTTGATGGGGTTCTGTATATGTTATGGAACTCAAGGTAAGTGCTAAATTTGATGACTGGTCACGATTCAGTGGGAGGTGTACCTCATATCTATGGCCAACAGCATAAATCCACTTGTGCATTTGGTTTGCCAGAAGGTACTGGACAGGATGAAGTGTTTCAATTGGAAAATATGTGCTCTACCCCTTAGGTTACTGTTAGTAAATACCTAGAAAGTGGCGGGCTGTCTCAAATCTTCACTCAAAATAATATTTTCCCAGTAATATCCATTTCAGTATTTCCCTGCCTTTCTTTCTCCTCCTATTCTAACATTCCCTCATTTAAGAGGGTGGACAAGTAAGTAGCCTCTAACAATTCCAAGCTGACCTCCATTCGGTGTAGAATTATATGACTCTGTGGCTAATAATAATAATCCTTGCATTTGATATAGCGCCTTATCACGTCTTCGAGACGTCTCAAAGCGCTTCACAGAATATACTGAAAGTGAATTGACTGTACATTTTGTGACCTAATGCAATGTCAAAAAAAATTAAACTTTGACAGTCATGAACTTGAAAGAGCAACCTTAAATGCAGAGTATATTTCAAAGTCTCGCTTTGAGATCAGCCTGGAGATTGATTATTGGATACAGGGTTTTTTTGAACCCATGCATAAAAGTAGGCAAGGATGTGAAATTGAGCAGCTGCTAAAAGAGAAACTATTTCTAAAGATTATTGAATTGGTTGTTTAATTTGTTCTGTTAAAATTTTTGTTTTTCACCCAGGTCCAAACATTTTTTGACTCGCTGAAAGACCAGGGCTCCCAACTGCAATCTGTGCAGGAATCGCTTGAGCTAATTCATCTGAACATTCAATGGATGGACAGAAATCTGAATAATCTGAAAACGTGGCTATAGAAATAACGATTCCTTTTTTGTTTTGTTTTGGTAATTTGAATACACCTATGTGCTAACTGATGCTAAATTGGAGTAGTATAAAACAGGATGAGGTCAGCTATCATTGCAACATCAGTTTGCACTATTGGGGAGGGGTGAAGTTAGCTCAGGGCAACTGAATTCCTGTTTTTGTCAAAATTGTAATTATTACATAGTTGTGAGGAGCTGCAGACCAAAACTGGTGATGGGTGAATGTATTAAAAAAAATTGTGTTATGCTAAATGTTCTCACTGTATGTTACTGGTTTATATAAATTTAGTGTCCAATGTAAGGTCAAGAATATATGCCACATAAAGTTTAAAGAGAGAACATCCAGCTTACAAAACAATTTAACTTTATTTTACATTTGTTGTGTACCATGGATCTATTGTGTGTTACAGTAAAGGGCAATGTCTTGCAGTTAGGATTTACAATATTGTGGCAGTGCTTTGTGTGCTTTATTGCTGCTGGCTGTCAGTATCATAATGACACTGTCTGCAAAGACTGGATAGCTTGTACAGCACAGATATGCCTTTCCAACATTCAGAATTTATAGTACATGGTGCACTTTTTCTGTATTCTGCCGGAGTTCAACCTACATACAATCGTATCAGTCAGGTGAAACCATTTATCTTTGACTTCTACATCATTTTCCATTTTGTTTCCTTTCCATAACCTACATCATATTGGCTCCACCAGAATGTGCATGATGGTTTAAGAAAGAATCCAGTTTTTTTGCAGATGTTATGTATATCTTATACAGAAAAGTGATGAGCACCAACCACATTTATGGCAGTAATTTTTGTCTCAGAATTCTGCTAATATTGATAGACAGATTGAACTTTGCTGTCAGAATTTATGATCTTATCAGAACCACTCAACTGAATTACTGCTTTATATCTCACTCTAGCCATCCATTATCCCCTTTATATCTTTGACACTTAGTGGAGTCCACAAGGTGACCTGTCAAAAAAGGTACTTTACTTCTACACTGTAAATCTGCTATCGCTGCAATAATCATCCAATGTCAAAAATGCAGAATAAATTTAAAAACAATGTAAGTTAGATGTTGCTTTTGAACTATAAGAGTGTGCAAATATTGCAAATAATTTTGCCACGTTACACTTATATCAACCTCAGGTACTGATCTCATTAGTAATTTGTATTGAGAAGTGCAAAGTGGGACATTAATTGAAAGCCAAGTTGGACACATGTATTGTAAAGAATCATGTTCTCAGTAAATTGCCAAATGGGAAGTCTTGTGAAAACAATACTGATTACAAGAAATGGAAGTACAGAAGTATAGTTAACTACATGCATGTGGTGACTTTAACTCTGTTTCTTCTGAAGATCCAGCTGCGATTTTGTTTTCTTTGTAATTTTCATTGGCAAGTTTTCAGAATTATGACATTTCTACTCATTAAGGTCTTGCATTTTTGTAGCATTGCTGAATTGGAAATACCTGGTCAATGGTTTACTGTACACAATGTGTTGAAAGTTAAGATTTTTGTAAGGGAGCCTTATTCATAATAGGTTTAAAAATGAGAAAGGAAAGATAATGAGCATTTACTCATGCAGCCTCAAAAAAGATGCTGTTGACATTGCTTCTCTCTCAGGTTGTAAAGTGGTAAATCATTAATTTAATTTTTGTGGTTTACAGGAGTTTAATGCTGTGGAGTGAAAAGCGAAGTACTATAAGTTGATAGTCGATAAGATATTTTTGGGAGACTTTAATAGAACTGTGGATTGTATAAATCAGATCTTAAAAACTCTTTGAAAAAAATCAGTTGTATCTTTTAACCATTATAAAAACTCCTTAATAGTTTGTTTAGTTTGTATTCTTTTAAGCTTGTACAATTGCACAATATTTGCTGATAATTAGTGAGGACTGTTAGAAACCATGAGAAAACTGTTTTGCTGTTACTTTTCTTTCCCCCGCCCCTAAGAGATAAATACATTTCATTATATTTCAGCCTATTTGCTTGTAACCGCACTGAAAACAAGGCATGCAATGCAAAACCACTGTGGTGCATTTCTGTGAGGTAGAACTAAGTGTATTTGATTATAATGACATTTCTGAATAAATTACTCTGGAAATTTGGCTTATGTGTATTTTGTAATCTTTAATGATAATAATCTTTGCATTTGATATAGCGCCTCAACACATCGTCAAGATGTCTCAAAGCACATCACAGGGTATATTGTAAAGTGGATTGCCTTTGTATTTTATGGATGTTAGCAATTCTCCAGCGATGGGAGAAACGCAGCTGCCAAATTGCGCACAACAAAGTCCCACAAACAGCCATGAAATGAGTGATCAATTTTATTTGAGGGATTTAGTGACCAGGGCACCGGGAGTCACTCTTTTCGAATAGTGCTATGGGATCTTTTAATAACCAATTAAACAGCAGATGGGACCTCGGTTTAACATTTCATCTGAAGAACAGCACCTCCGACAATGAAATACACCCCCAGCGTTGGATTGGAGTGTCAGCTTAGACTGTGATTCCAAGGATTGGACCCACAAGAGTGCTACCACTCAGCCAAGCTCACACTTATCTCCTTATGTTTTAGTTAAGTGGTCTATTTTGTTATGTATATTTCAATTAAGCACTTTAAATAATTGCTATTCTATACAATTTAAAATGTACATGCCATCTTACCGGTACAAAACACTGCTACGTTTCGTGGCACCTATCCAGCTGGAACCACCCTTACTCATCAGAGCTTTGATGTGCAAGGTTGAGGACTAGTAAATCTCAGATAGAAGTTAGTCAATATTTGACCTTGCCTTGGATTTGTCATACATATCTCCTTAGACACAGAGATGCCCTACTTATCTCTTCCTTTCGTCCTGATTACCACAGGAGCATTCTGCAAACAACACTATTCGGTGATCATCTCTAGTCTTGACAATTGAGTAGTGTGGTACAGTATTTCTAATCAGCTGGTATGACCTATGTCCTGCAATGTATTTTGTCTGAATGTACTGCATCATTGATACATGGGTTTCAAGTAACATTCTAACGTACATATTTGTCTGGAATTAAGTGTCCGGAAGGGACATTATAATGTAAATGTGTAGAAGAATGTATATTTTATTGTGTCTTTTCATGTCAAAATGCTTTCAAATGCTTCGCAAGCAATTAAAAAGTATAGTTTATGTAGGCAAACATGATTTGAGGGATATAATGGAAATCTCAATTCCTATTGTACTCCACAGTAAAGGTTAAAATAATCTGTGAAATCACAATGAAATTGGCTCTTGAGTGACCTCTATTGTGCATTTATATGGCTAGCCTTGAAGGTGCTTTGCTTCCAACATTAGCAATTTAGAGCAGAAGATTCTTTAACAGTGTCTCTGATCACAAGAGAGGCAGTGGAAATTTCTGCAGATGGTTTAAGTGTCACATATGGGAACCCTGATCTAGAATCCAAGTCAACAGGAGAGGATAAGGACTATTAGTATGAGTGAACTTCTGAAATCGGCTGCAGAAATATACTTCTCAATGTAAAAATATTGGGTTACACTTGAACAATCTACTATACACTGTTGTCCCATCCAATGGGGTAATGGTGAGACAGAAAACTTGTTGCTGTTTAAATTATTCCTTTTATGTTGAATGAGAAGTTTCTAGCTTTGTGTCCAATGATGTAACTTGATCTGCAGATTCTGTAAATGCTCAAATTCGTTAAAAGTTTATGACCTTGTCAGAACCACTTCATTAAATTACAGCCTTACATCTCTGGGACCAAGTCATTTCCTACATTTCCTTTTTCTCCAATTTCCCTTCAAAGTCCTGAACCTTGATGCAAACTCCTTAAAAGGAAGCTTTTATATTTCTGTAAATAGTAACATACTGTGGCTATTTATTCACACAATCCTTGGTTATATGTTCTTTGCTATTTTTTCAGTTGAATCTAACTTGTAATGTTTTTAATCTTGTGTATTTCCTTCTCCATCTTGCAGTGTTTCACCATACCCATCTTATACTCTGTAGCTTTGCTATTGTGGATATATGAACGTAGAAAAAAAGTAATTCACTAGACTTGCCTGGTTGCTGTTTGCCTTCATTTATCCCCTTCCTCCAGCCAAATTTATAGTAATTCAAGTCCCAGACAGGCTGATATTTCTGTCTGGATATTCCTTATGAATGTTCAAGGGAAGGGGGAGATACTGTGCGCAGCCAATTACTGAAGAGTCTTACTTCAATAAACATTAAAGATTGACCTGGGCCCTGGTTAAAATATAACTCTATATTTCACTATTTTAGTCTATTATGAGGATTATTTCACATTGCAATCTATTATCTTACATTATTTCATAATGCAGATGTCTGCCAAAATCTCCAATCCAATAATTGTTAACATTCAAGTCAGAGATTGTGGGTCAGGCCACACGTTGGGACTTGCAGTGCTCAAGGTGTAGTTAACAATGCAGGAGGAACGCTGCATTGTTTGAGGTGCCGTCCTTTGGATAAGACGTTAAACTGAGGTCCTGTCTGTCTGCCTGTGTTCAGGTGGAAGGTAAAAATGTGAAACCAGCTGGGAGTTGCAACAATCTCCCAGATAAAAATTGTTCATTTGCTTCATGGCTTCATTGGCTCCACATTCACTTGCAAATACAGTCACTTTACCTTACAGTAAAATCTTGTGAAGTGCTTTGAGAAATCTTGACAATACAATAGGATACTCTTGGGTTACAACCTAATTGGACGTGTTTTTATTGTACTGTACAGCTTTGGGCAGTGCCGAATTAAAAAAAGAATTTAAACCTGCAAAACGTTGCTTTCCTATGAAGACCTTTTCTTATAGAGTTTCAAAAGCACAAACCTAAATCACTGTAAGCTACTCTGCTATGCATAGGAGGTCATGCTTAATATTGGGCTACTTTGGGGCTAGTGATTGATTGACTTTGGGCTACAAGCATATGATAATTTCTGCCAACCTGAGTGAGAGTGAGAGCAGAGTCTCCACAGCAACTGGAACCTCCTCGGCAGCCCCAGCTGCTGCTGTAACTCTATGTTCTGCCTGTAAGAAGCTGATCCCTCCTGTTATTGACTCACTTTGTGTATTTGACTCTCCAGCTTGTCTGCCATGGTTACTGTTGTTCCCCTTTCCTGCTTGTGTTGTTGCCTACAATGGTAGACTGCCAGAGCCCTGGGTTCCCAGGCGACACCTGAGCCTCAGGTAAACAGAGGCAGCACACAGCAAAGACTCCTCTATTCCAGGGTCCCAACATGTTCCTGTAGGACACTAGTGTGAACAATTCTGGAAGGATGAAGTTAAAATGGCCCGAAGGACCTTCTTCACCGAACTAATCTTGTGATCTTGTAATAGTGAGTATTTGTGGAAGGTGCAAATTAGGTCTTGGATGTGGTTAGTACTTGTTCATTCCCATAGTTTGGAGCAAGTAAATTAATCCTACATTAAATGTACAGTATGATTTCTTTTGAGATTAATGTTAAAAATTATTTAACATTTCCCCCCTTTTCTCTCTCAGCTCCTGAATGTGCTGAATTATGCTGCACTTAGTGTTTCAGGGATGCTTGTGATTTACCTGTTCCTCAATAAAATGCCCATTCTTCATGTCTCAGTCTAATCTGCCAATGTTAACAAGACTGTTCCATGGGGTAATGTGGAAGATCCACAGCTAAGCCTGAATATATGGCACCCAAAATCTAACAGAACTTACTGTGTTGATCAGGAGTAGAAAATATGGCTTTATTTTAAAATGCTTCCAAGGCCTCAATTTTTTATCTTGCGATTTGCAAATAATATTTTTGGACAAAATAATTACGTAAACTAGGTTTAGTAATTCTGCAATTGTCTTTTTGTTTTGGTCAATACTTTAGAAACGAAATGTATAAATTATATTGAAAAATGTGCATATCACCAACACCATTTCTTATCAAAAGTAGTTACTTTATTCTGGAAGGGTTTTTCAAAGTTTATGATTTTTTTTAAGTATTGGAAATGAGAATTAATTAGTCATGAAAATTTGCAAAATAAGTAAAGCTATAAACAACAAGGTTAATCATATGCTGGGGACAACTCAAGGGTTATAAGTTGGTTATAAATTGAAACGTTATCTTAGCTTAAACATGTTATTCTATCATAAATCATAAGTAAAATCACGCAAAGCTCTCTGGGAAGCTACCCTGCATGAAGGGTGCTATATAAATGCAAGTTGTTGTTGTTATTTGCAATATTGCAAACAAATAGTTTTTAGGCATCTTTCCTTCAAAACAAATGACATACTGCACAGGATTTAAAAGAAGGATGAACGTTGGACTTTGAAACACTAGTATGCCAATGAGACCATTAATGTACAACTTTAACTTTTACACTAACGGTTTCAGATGAATTTATTTGACAGAAGTGGTACAAGGAGGGGATCCTCAAGGAGGAATTCTTGCACTAATTTGATTATTATGTCAGCTTCTGCATTTCTGCAATGTGTACAATGTGAACTTTTCAACTTTAAAATTAATTCCTTCAAAAAAGGATAGGTTGAATATATACTGTAATAGAAACAGGTTTGAGGTAAACATAGACATTTCAAGAAATTATGAATGAACACAGTTCACGGTGATGTCGAGACCATGAAAATGTCATATGTGGACAGCAGTTGGATAGGCTAAATAATGGGACATTGTAAATCTAAATAAATACTTTTCAGTCAGAAACAAATTTAGCAGTTTAAAAAATAGAGAAGTAGATCCGTGGTTAGAGATGTTGTGTGGTCTGTTTGAGTGAATCCCGTGGTCTAAATGCTCTCATCTATATTTTCTTTCCTCCTGAAGGCACTGAATCAGCCTATGTTGTGGTTCCTTAGGTGCCCCCTGTACCTTGCATATATGACCATTCTTCACACATAAGTCCATAGCGAAGGTCAGATAATTTAGAGATGGCACAGCCAGTCTTCTCCTTACCTGATATACACACGGATATAACTTCCACATGCTCCCTCTTGGGGATGTCATCCGCAGACATGGGGTACATTTCAACATGTACGCGGACGACACCCAACTCTATTTTTCCACCTCTCTTTGCGACCCCCAGTCCCCTGATGTTCTATCAGTCTGCCTGTCAGACCTCAGGGGCTGGGTGAGCGCTAATTTTCTTCAACTGTAAGTCGATAAGACGGAAGCCATACTCTTTGGCTCTCGTCAACATCTCAAATCCCACGGCTCTCACCTCCTCCACCAACCCGACGTCCCCCTAAAACTCTCTGAACCCGTATGCAACCTTGGCATCAGGTTCGACCCCCAATTATCCTTCCTCCCCCACATCTGGTCCCACACCAGCACTGCCTTCTTCCACCTCCGACGCATCGCCCACATCCACAAATACCTCTCTCCGAAAGCCGCTGAAACCCTGTCCATGCTTTTGTCACCTCTCGGCTGGACTATTCTAACACCCTCCTCGCCGGTCTCCCATCCACCACTATCCATAAAATCCAAATCATTCAAAACTCTGCCGCCCGCATTCTCACCCGCACCAAACTACGTTCCCCGATCACCCCAGTCCTTGCCAGACTGCACTGGCTGCCTATTCCAGAGAGGATCGATTTCAAGATCCTCACTCTTGTATTCAAATCCCTGCACTCCTCTGCACCCCCCTACCTCTCTGACCTCCTCTCTCCTCAAAACAACAACAACAAGATTCCATTTATAGAGCGCCTTTCACGTCGGGAGGACGTCTCCCAAGGCGCTGGACAGTTGGGTCAGGACCCGAGCATTGGGGGGGAAATGGTCAGGGTGAGGGGAGGGAAGGGAGGGAGCGAGGAGGGGGTAGAGAGTCGAGAGGGGAGCTGAAGGCACGGTCAAAGAGAAAAGTCTTGAGACCGGCCTTGAAGGAGGAAAGGGAGGAGGCGGCGAAGGCACTGGGGGATAGAGTTCCAGAGCCTCGGGGCTGAGAGGCTGAAGGCCCGGCCACCGATGGTAAGGAGGTTGGGGCGGGGGATGTGGAGCAGACCGGAGCCAGAGGAATGGAGGGTACGGGCAGGTAGGTAGGGGGATAGTAGGTTGGAGAGGTAGGAGGGAGCGAGGCCGTGAATGGCCTTGTAGGTGAGGATGAGGATCTTGAATTCGATCCTCTGGGGGATGGGGAGCCAGTGGAGGCAAGCGAGGGTGGGAGTGATGTGGTCCCGAAGCCTGGTGCGGGACTGTACACGAGCTGCAGAGTTCTGAATGACCTGCAGCTTGTGGAGGGAGGTGCCGGGAAGGCCGGCGAGGAGAGAGTTCCCATAGTCCAGCCTTGAGGTGATAAAGGCGTGGACCAGAGTTTCAGCAGCGTGAGGGGTGAGGTAGTGCCGTAGTCTGGCGATGTTTCGGAGGTGATGGAAGGCAGTGCCAGTTGTGGCGCGGATATGAGGAAGAAAGGACAGCTCAGGGTCGAACAGAACACCGAGGTTCCTGACTGGCTTTGAGAGGTGGAGAGTGCAGCCTTGGATGCTAATACTGTCAGCGCCTGAGGTGCGGTGTGGGGGCTGGAGGAAAAGCCAAAACAGCATCCATTGCCTTCGATCCTCCGGGTCTGGCCTCCTCCTTGTCCCCGGAGTCCTCTGCTCCACCCTCAGCAGCCGTGCCTTCAGCCACTATGCCCCGAGGCTCTGGAATTTGCTTACTCACTCCCTTCGTCTCGACCCCTCTCTTCCTTCTTTCAGGTCCTTTCTGAAGACCTTTCTTTTCGACCACGCCTTTGGTCATCTTCCTCCCCCTCCCCCTGGCTTGGCCTCGGGATCCGTTACTGTGAAGTGCTCTGAGACGCCGTCCGGTGTGGATACTAAGACCAGTTGTGGTGTCTAAACTACCAATCTGTCGATCAACTTGGCTGTCAACCTGGTTAAAATCAATTAAGTTAATGCAGATTAATAATCCTCTCATTTTGATACAGCTATAAAGTTGTAACGTCCTTCATCCAAAAACACTGTGTCGTGTTATGGCTGTGTATAGCTGGGAATCAATTTGTGCACATCAATCCCACAAATAGTCATGAAGTGAACAGCCAATGTCTGTCCAGGTTGCAGATATTAAACATTTCTCCATAATAAAATTGAATCTCCATTCAATTTGTTACTTTACTATTTTCATTCAAAATATCTTTGTTTATCCAATTTTAGTAGAAGATGTACTGAATTATTGGAACAGTCTTCAGAAAGATCAACTTATCACAGAATAATGCAGGCTATTAAATCCTACAACTGTGTGCGATGTGGAAATGATTTTGCCAGTCAAACAGCCTTAAAGCATCATTTTCGAGCTAAACATATTGGAAGAGTATATTGTGACAAGTGTGGGATTGAAATGCTCCGAGAGAAGCTGAAGGAACATGAGCAGGTATGTACTTAGAAACTCTCTCCCAATTTTATATTCTGACATTCTGAAGAACTTCAAACAAGTCAAGAAGTTAGAGATTACCAAAAACTTAAATTTGCAGCAATTTGAGATCACTATTCAAAATTGTGGGACAAATGGCCATTATTATTAATAATAATCCTTGCTTTTGATATAACCCTTTATCAAGTCTTCCAGACATCAAAGCGCTTCACAGATTATACTATAAAATGAATTGACTGTATATTTTGTGGGTAAAACACAGCAGCCGATTGCGCACAGCAGTGTCCCACAAACAGTCGTGGATTGAGCGACCAAATTATTATTTATTTTGAAGGGATTATTACCCCCGGAAAAGCAATCCACTAATAACCGGGTTCCTATTTACTGCGAGGTAAACAGAGAAGTGTGGGGTAAGAGGACTAAGAGCCTAAGGTTTTGCCCTGCCCGGGAATCAAACCCAGGTCTTCTCGCTTACAAGGCGAGTGCTCTAAACAATTCAATACAGTGCATGAAATCTGACAATGAGCATTGACAGGCTGTTTGACTGCCAAGGGAAATCATAGCCAAGCTCCATCCTGTCTTGCCTGCCACTGCTCTAACAGTGGACTCTGGTTAGCGATCGAGAATGGGATAGTAATCTGATTTTTTTTCCTCCACTGCTGGGAGGTGAGGCCAATTGTACCATGCAAACCATTGCCCCAGCTGAGATCAGTTAATTCAACACAGAACAGGATTTAAGCCTGTGATCTTTTCTACGTGGCTTTGTGCTGTTTTGGGTGATGCATTTACCTACTCAGATGTAAGATGAGCTATGTAAAGAGACAGTCATGAGAGAAATGTTTTGCTTGATAACCGTGAACAATAAAATGTTTGTACTGAATATATTCTGCTTCCTCTGTAGATTGTACATTACAAGAATAAATGTAACCTACTAAATGAATACCCATACTGGGATCAACCCTTGGAAAGAGAGGACAGGTTTGTGGCATCTGAAAAGTGTGTGACCTGTCGGATGTGTCACAGAGTGTTTGGAACTGTCCACAGCAGAGAGCAACATGAGAGACAAGAGCATCATTTTACAGCCTGTCAAAGAGGTACTCCAAATTCAGCATCATTCCCTTGTCGTAATAAACTTATGTGGCATCGGATAGCATCTGCAAAACTTAAATCTCTTTTTGGGGTCAAGTTGAATATCTGAATAAATGACTTGCCGCTGGTGATGATCATATACATAATCCAGGTACGAAAGTCTTGTGAAGAGGATTACTTTCCATCAATTTCTATTGTAAAAGACTTTTATAATGCTAGACACAATGCTTAAATACAAAATTCAGACACAAGTAAAACCTCCTTCAAACTGATCATTTAGGAAATGTCAGCGCCCGCTCAGTCCTCTGCCAAATTTTAACTGGATAAGAGCAACAGTTTGTTTTGGGCCCAGAAGTATTTTTGGGGTAAAATATGTTTTCTTTAGCAGTATTTTTGGTGGTTGTTCAGATTGAATTATGAGTGAATCAAAGGGGCTGTAGTACAAAGCATATAATTTTTATCCACAATCTTGAAAATTTCTGATTCCATCATTATCATTTCTTCTAAAACCAGTTTATAGGGATAGAAATACAATGGGTAATGAAAGATCCATTTGAAGTATCTGATCCTGATTCAAATTGGCAATGTTCTGAATATTGACAAATCAGCAATGTATAAAAAAACTCTTAAGAAGAAATCATAAATTGAATTTTGTAGTTTCCCATTTAAACTTTTAATTAGGATTTTTGATAATGTTTTTGTAGCAAGAATGTCAACAGCATTCTCCCCAGACAGTATATTGGATCACAGAAGCTTGCAGCTATTACGAAAATTCGTAGAAACTTGCCTTCGACCAGAAATGGGACCCCTGAGAATGGCTTGTGCTGAAGAAGTAGATAAACTCATTGACTTGATTCAAGAATGTTGTCCAACATCTGTGACTCGACTCACCAAGGTAACCAAGTGTAGACAATGAGTCTTACTTAATTTAAAAAGAAATTAAGAGTGTACTATGGGGAAAGAGGCAATTTACTGTTGCACGCAATTCTTGTATAGTGTGAAAATTACCATTTTCAAGGGTTTTGAACAAAATCCTGATCAGATTGTAAATGTAATTATCATTCTCAATAAAACCCAAGAAGGGGTGATATGTGTTTCAAAACAATCAAATCTAATCTGCTCTATCCCTCTGAAAAAAAAGTGTTCATTTTAAACAGAGTTTCTTATAAATTAAGTATGAAATAATAATGATAAGAATCCTTGTATTTGATATTGAGCCTTTGACATCAGGAGGATGTTTCATCTAGCTTCACAAGAAACAATTTAAAGTGTAGTAACTGTGTATCTTTGTGTGCAAAATAAACCTAGTAGTTTAGCCTGTACAAAATCCTTAATATATTTGATGTCTGAATGACTTGATTAATGTATGTACAGGAATTGATCCGCTGTAATGTACTTAAATTGTCTGTATGCACATGCTTTGGTTAATGCATTTACTTACTCAGGTGCCAGATGAGTTATGTAAAGAGACAGTTTTGAGAGAACATTTTTGCTTTCTTCAAAGGGTGGCTCATATATCAAAGGCACAGATACCAGAGATTGGTCAGATATCGATGTTGTGTTGTTCAGTAACTCGTTCACAAGCATAAGCGACTGCAAAGAAAAAATGTCAGCCATGTTGGAAGGCCTGGAGAAAAATTTAAAGAAATCTCTGCTGACAAATCGGTGAGACAAAGGGATATTTAATAATAATGTGTTATGAGAGGAGGTTGGAAGGGTTGGTTTTGCTGATGCAGATTTTATGAGGTTAACAAGTTATCCCAGGACCCAGTGAATACCATAGATTCTGGAACTGCTACTTTGCATTAAATGGTGACAAAACAAGAAAGCATTTGCCTATGGCACCTCTGACAATATAGAACTCCCACTGCAATGTCACTTTATATTATGACCCAGTCCTGGTATAGGTCTCAAGCTGTTTTGTTATTAAACATTTGTTCTTCAGCCATTCTGACCCACCCTCTGGAACTCCATCCCAGAGCCCTTCCTCCTCGCCTCCCTTGACTCCTTCAACACCTATCTCAAGACGTTTTTGACTGTTCCTTCAGTCATTTTTGCTCCTCCACCCACCCCTTGCCCTCCACTCCTCTCTGATCCCAGGCCACAGCTTGGGTACAAACTCCTCATTGTCCAGGGCCTTCCTATATACACCGTCCTCCTGATGTGTTAGGTGCTATATATAAAAGCAATTTGTTGTTCTTGTTGCTGTTTCTAAGCTGACACTTGCTCTCCATTTCTGAGGCTAAAATGTGCAGTGGGGAAAATGTACAAAAAAAGCTTAAATAGCAAGTGTGCCTGGTTTTATATAATTCTGCTTAAACTTATGTTCTCACCTTAGGATATTGATAGAAAAGAAGGCTTCAGTTTCTCTTCGATTTCAGTTCAAGTGCATCAAAGATCTGCACATTCACCATTTTGATGTCATGCTTTGCTGTGATATGTTAGGATCCAATCCTCCCCGAGGTTTGTGTGTTAGTTTGTATTGTTCGTTTGTGATGTGAACTTTTCTGCAGCTAACACATTGAAAGGAAAAATGTAAACATTTGAAAAGAAAATGTTTTGAGAGGCTGAGACAATTCTGAGAGTTTCATCAATATCTTCTGATGGCCAGCCATTTAAAATCACCACTTTTCCTGGAAATATTTTAAACTTTTGGAAGAATTTATTTACAATGCACTTACCTCTTGGTAGTCTCTCCAATAAGTTGTCAGGTCCCATTTTTCTCTTTCCACTGTGTTGTCTTCTCTTCACCTAACAACATATTTCCTCCTCTTCCAGCACAACTGTATCCCTAAAGCTGATTCATATTATTAAGGACACAACTTAAGTTGTAATCTTTGGAATTGCCAAGCTTTGAACATACTCTGTTGATCTGGTTGACATGTTTTATGCTGTAACACATGCCTGCCAGCCACTCGAGCCAGACAGATCCTAAATGCACATGGCGACAGATTAGGTTCTCGAACCAAGTGGTTTATTAATATGGAAGAAAATCTTAGTGGTCTCCAGTATCCCTAAAGGAGACAGATCAGACTCTACCACTGACAGAACTGGAGGGGTGCAGGTACCTGAGAATGCGGTCAGTCTCTTGCATCCCTTCTATCCCACTCTTTCGCTCAAGGTTTCCAACCTGCTCAGGAAATGACTACATGGTCTCTTCGTCGCCGTGCTTAACAGCTGGAGTGTTTTATCTACAGATTGCGAGTCTGCCATGTGGCTAAGCCTCAGGCTTCCTTTATTATCTCAAGTTCTGTAACAGAAGCTGCAGGACCCTTCTTTGATCGAGCCCTAAAGAGCCTGGTCACGTCTTAGACTTGAGGCTATTGTTTTAACATTTCAGATAATGCAGGATTTTAATAATCCTTGTATTTGATATCCACCTATCAGACCATTGAGATACCTCAAAGCATTTTATAATAATAATAATTCTGATCCTTACATTTGATACAGCATCTTATCAAGTCTTCAAGATGTCTCAAAGCGCTTCACGGAATATACTGTGAAGTGAACTAAAGTGAATTGATTTTGTGGGCGAAATGTGGCAGTCAATTGTGCACAGCAGTGTCCCACAAACAGTCGTGGAGAGTGACCAAATTATTCTTATTGTTTTTTTAAAAAATTTGAAGGGATTATTACCTCTGGAAAAGTGATCCACCAATCAACTAACAACCGGGCTCCTACTTACTGCTAGGTAACCAGAAGAGTGTGGAGTAAGGAAACTGTCTAACATTTCACTCTGCCCGGAAATCAAACCCAGGTCCTCTCGCTTGCAAGGCAAGTGCTCTAACTACTAAAGCTACAGAACTCCATCTATATTGACTATTCATAGGCGAACTTAGCAGCCAATTTACACAAAATGATATCCCACAAATCACCATGAGGTGAATGACCAATTTTATTTGGGGGATTGTTGGCCAAGCCATTGGGAGAAACTTCCAACAATGTAGCCCTTCCCCAACACTGCTTTGGAAAGTCAGCCTGAACTATGAGCTCAAAGTAGGGTTTCAGCCACAGCTTTCTGACTCAGAGGCAAGAGCGCAAGCCACTGAGCCAGGCTGCCGCCTATTTTAGAAATCTCTCCATTTCAGTCTTAATTTGGAAGCTGGTATTCTGTACCTTACAAAAAATGAACTGTGAAAAACTTACCTTTGATTAAGACGGAACTTAACAACTTTCCAAACTTTGCACAATGTTAAATTTTAAAACTATAATCTTAAACCCCAAACCATGAAGAATTTCAGACTTCCGGTGGATTTGAGATTCTAAGACTCTAATGCCATTACAAATTAAAATTAGAGGATGATTAGTTTCTAGAATTAGTCAACACATGAAAACAGAAATACAATTATTTGTCTAATGAGATTAAGTTAATTTTCTTTAAAGATTTAACAAACACTTAGATCAAATTGTCTTCAGATTAAGAAACTTCCATAGAATCTTTTTTGAAACGTTATAACTTTCTGAATATATTTCTTTAAACTGCCAGTACTGATGAAATCACTGATTTAACAACTTGTGAGAGTTATTAAAATAAACATTACAAGTGACATGAATTGAGAGTCACTACTTTGCATCACTTTAGTTGCTTTCTCCCCTCCACTACCATTCCAAAACTCTGCCGCCCGCATTCTTACCCGCACCAGACTCCGCTCCCCGATTACCCCAGTCCTTGCCAGACTGCGCTGGCTGCCTGTCCCAGAGAGGATCGACTTCAAGATCCTCACTCTTGTCTTCAAATCTCTCCACTCCTCTGCACCCCCCCTCCCCACCCCTCTGACCTCCTCTCTCCTCACAACAGTGCCCGTTGCCTTCGCTCCACTGGGGGCCTCCTCCTTGTCCCTCGAATCCTCCGCTGCACCATCGGGGGCCGTGCCTTCAGCCACTATGCCCCTTCCTCACTCCCTTCGCCTCGCCCCCTTGCTTCCTATTTTCCAGTCTCGGCTGAAGACCTTTCTCTTCGACCGCGCCTTTGATCACCTTCCACCCCTCCCCCTGGCTCAGCCCCAGGATCTATTACCGTGAAGCACTCTGAGGCGCTGTCTGGCATGGAGGGTGCTATATAAATCTAAGTTGTTTTGTTTTATTAATTTATTTCCCACATGCTTTCAGAATCACTAGCTTCAAAATTATTTTTATACAAAGCTAGTAAAAAGCTGTTGCTCTGGGAACTGCATTGCAATCAGCCCAGAGTGAAGAATGAAAGCCCTCTCTCTTATTTATTGGGTATAACAAATATTTTTGTTATTATTATAATGGACAGAAATGTTTAGACTGCGGCAGCCATGTATTGTTTTATTTCTCTCTTTCCTGGTTGTTGTTTAATTTTAACTCAAATATTTTATTAATATACAGATGTTAAAAAGAGCTTATATCGACGACTGTACAATTGTGGGGATGATTTAGAAACACAGCTTTATTCGGTCTCTCTACTGCAATACCAGGTGGATTTTGTAAAGGCATCGACTGTTGGTGTGAAGGACATGATTCGTCTGGTTAAATATTGGTTCAAAACCTCTCTTGCTAAACCCAGTGAAACCAACAGGTCTGTCAAGATTTGCAATCAGAGTTTTACTTATAACATTATTATTTTCAATAAATGTATCCTGCAGCTGCAATTAAATTGATTAGTATCATTGCAGTCCTGCATTTTGTATTTTACGACCAATTCTCGTGTAACCCTGAGCAACCATCATCATCGATAGATGTATTCAGTGCGCTTACATTCCACTGAACTCTTTGAGATGGCCTCCCGACTTTAAAGGCTTTTTTTTAAATGAGCAAGGTTAGGCCTGCTCACCCACATTAGCCAAATTAGACCGAATGCTTTCCACTTTGAGAACGAAAAATGTGTTCTATAAATCTAAATTGTAACTTGGAAACATGTTGTTTGCCTTCTGTGTTACTGAGTTCATCTCAGATCTCTGCTGGTTGACTTTTAGTCAAACAGTGTCATTGATTTTAGATGCCTGACCACAAGGTCCTCCTGATGATGAATTTGTTCACGTGTTCAGGCAGAAATAGACTATTAGTCTTTTTGGCTCACCAAGTGGTCAGCTTCCCCCACCTCAAGCGTGTGAAGCGCTTTGAGATAATAATAATCATAGTAATAATAATCTTTGCATTTGATATAGCGCTTTTCACGTTTTCTAGACGTCTCAAAGCCCTTCACAGAATATACTGTAAAGTGAGTTGACTGTATATTTGTGGGCGAAACACAGCAGCCAATTGTGCACAGCAGTGTCCCACAAACAGTCGTGTATTTAAGTGACCAATTTTTTTATTATTGTTTTTTTTCTTGAGGGTTTATTATCAGGCATGTGGAGATGTCCTCCCCATGTGAAAGGCGTTGTGGAAATATAAATTGTTGTTATTATACCCATCCAACTCCCCACAGACAGAGAAGTTGAATGTTACTAGATTAAAGGTGTTTAAACTGGGTTGAAGCCAGGTGAGTTATTCTGCAGTAAGATTATTGGTATTAAGATGCTGATCTTTCAGCTTGGGCTAGTGCCAATATTGGATACAAGAATCCTTTTGTCTTGCTATTACTGAAATCACAAATTCCTGAGCCATTTTAATATCCATTCACAGATTCCGGAGGCTTCCTTCATCCTATGCAATGGAACTCATGACCATCTATGTTTGGCAGCTGGCAGGAAAGCCTATATTTTTTAGTTTTGTCCAAGGACTGCGAGCAGTATTCAAGTTCCTGGTGAATTGCACTGATATTTGCATTATTTGGTTTGAACACTATGATGAGACATTTCAGATTGTGAAGAAGTCAGTTCAGAAACAAACCAGGTGAGCACTGTGAACTAGCAGGAAATCCAAAGTACAAATTTGAACTAAGTTCAAGTTTGGTCTTTGCTTTCATTCAGAAAAATATTAAAGACAGTTCTAATTTTGAGCAAACATGAGAGCGGGCATGTGTACTGACCCGATCAGTTTTATACCCAGAAAATTAAAATACTTTCTTTTTCTTTTTGATTCCTGGTGATCAATGAGGAGAGAGTATTGTGTGTTTTCTGGTTGATACATAAGCCGCTTAGATTTATCTAATAGTTTTGTGTACATCAAAGATTATCAATGTAAGACACCAGTTTTTGGACTTAAGTGCTCTGAGACACCGGCCGGCGTGAAGGGCGCTATATAAATGCAAGCTGTTGTTATTGTTGTCTTTTAGAAAAGAATTCTGCCAATGTGGTATTATTTTACAACCTCGTTATTTGAGGACTTGGATTTTAGATCCTCTGTTGCTAACTTGGAATCTGTCCTGAATCTATACAACAGTTTGTTCTTAATTGGAATCAAGGTTAGTAGGATACATGGAAACTTAGAGGGAGAAATATCCAAAGGAATAATGGATCCTTTGCATGCGCGGGCCTCTCTCAAGGTTAATGAGGGAAATGTGCGGAACAGCAGGTTTTTTCACAGATAGACAGAATTTTTTTCCCACCGTGAACAATCTGCAGCCCTAGTGATGGAGGAAGGAGATGTGCTCTGATATCCTACTCTGTGTGGAGGGCGCTATATAAGTGCAAGTTTTTGTGAGTGAAAGTATCAAGGATAGTGGGATGAAAGTCATGATAGTATTGATGATATGTGGTCCACTGAATGACATTTTCTCTGTCCATTCTTTATGTTAGAAGAAGTTGAGCAGGAAAAGCTTGTCAGAAAGTGATATCAATAATAATAATAATAATCCTTGCATTTGATATAGTGCTTTTCACGTCGGGAGGACGTCCCAAAGCGCTTCACAGAACACACTGTAAAGTGAATTGACTATATTTGTGGGTGAACGCGGCAGCCAATTGCGCACAGCAATGTCCCACAAACAGTCGTAGATTGAAAATGACCAATTTATTATTGTTTTTGGTTTTGGAGGGATTATTATTAGGCGTGTGGAGTATGGAAACTTGCCCAAGGTTTCGCCCTGCCTGGAATTGAACTCAGGTCTCTCGCTTGCAAAGCGAGTGCTCTAACCACTGAGCTACAGGACTCCACATGGCAAGCGATGTCGTTTTAGACTCCAGCAGTTACCCCAACGCACACTCTGGGGTCCCCAAGCCTTGGCTTTTGCCAAACTGCGCCTAATAGTTTCTGGAATTAGGTAAACAGGATGTGTCCCTCCAGGGAGAAAGTGTGCATTCCATTCCAACAATCTATCTCTGGGATTTCCATGTGTAGATGGGATGCATGGAAATCTCAGCTTGGTTCGGACACTCTGAAGCACGGTGTTTGCTTCCCGCGTGTGTCAGGCTGACCAAAAAAAAAGTTTACTCTATGATTCAGATTCTCAATTCCTGAAGACTTTCAATTCAGTTAAGATTAATATGAATTGAAATGTTTCTAAAGGTGATTTATTTTGATGTTTTATAATAAAAATAATGTTTTGAAGTTATAAAGTGATTTTTTTGTTGTTTAAGATTTCATTGTTTCTCAATTCCAGACCTTTTATTTTGGATCCAGCTAACCCCACCTTCAATGTCTGTGAAACCAGCAATGCTTGGGATGAGGTGGCTCATGTGGCTCGACAAAGTTTGCTGAAGCCACTTCTCAATGGTGTTCAAGCAAAACCTCCGTGGCTCTTTACAAACAGCTGTTGACTGACATATGTAGCTTTTGTTATCAGAACGTTCCCTAGATAATTTTAAAATATAATGCAAGGAAGTGTTGCATTCATGTGAAACTGAATGTAAACAAATGTAATTTAGATCACATCGGATTCTGGTATTAAGATACCAATTTTAATTTTCTTTTGTAATCCACATTTTGCTCAAAGTGCATCTATATTTCTTAAGAAGATTACATATTGTCTTTTAATTCCAGATTAAGATTCTTTAGTTGAATTAGATGTACAATTATATCTTGTTTATTCCAATTGAAAGATCAGTTCCTCTTAAGTTGTTTTTTTTATCTTGAATTCTTGAATTGGAAGCATTTCTAAACATTTATTTACAAAATACAGTGATGATTGGGTCCATAAGATCATCTCCCACATAATGACATTATATTATAAAATGGGTCGTAAGGTCACTGCTGACATCACTGCATTACGCAAGTATGGAGCCTGTCAGCACCAGAAGCTGAGAGTATACTACACATCTGATGTACCAGCGCCTTGGGACGTCCTCCCGACATGAAAGGCGCTATACAAATGTCATTTTGTATTGTGCTACGCTTCCATGGTATATCCGCATATCTGGACATTCGGTTTACTAGTATCTGACTATAATGATTACATTTGACAGTATTGTTTTTACTTCTGAAGTCCTTCAAGATCTTTCGACATAACTCACTATAAAAACATTCTTCATTCTTTCCTGGATCTCAGGATGCAATTAGGTCTGGATTTGACATCTTAACAGGATTATTCGTGCACACATTAATTAAGCTGCTCATTTCCAATTAAACCTTCCCATAATCAGGAAATCAATTATTTTATAATGTATTTTTTCCAAATTGCTGTCATTAATTATAATGAGGAAACACATTTTCAAATTAAAAAGCTCTGCAATGTTTGTGGTGCATTTCAGGGAATAGAAATATAATTTTCTTTTCAACAACTTCCCATTACTCATGCAATTTATTTCTCTTCTTCGTTTCCCCCTTGCCTTGCACCTCATCCCCCACCCTACCCAGATGTGTGAAGGTCACCTGCTTCCACCGCGCTCTGTGTCTGCTGTTCATAAACTGAGCACTAGATGGTACATTTGAGCAATTTGGGATGATTCTCCACTATCTTCATGCGTCCTTGTGGCAAGCACCTATCCTCTTTTCTATGGTTTAATGATGAGACGGTTGTGATCAGCAACTCTGTGCTAGGAATTGTGGGGACAAGCCCACAGCCAAGCATTCTGTGGCAGAGTGTGTGAACTAGCAAGTTGTGTCAGTGTGCTGCTTACTCGACACAGATTAACTACATTATTCATTAACTGGGAAAGATTATTTCATGAAAGTACCTTTATGTGCATTTTTTGTTAGATCTTGTTGGTGTTATATCAATAATTATTATTATCATGTCATTTTAATTGAACAATCATAATAATAAAATAACCACATAATATATGATCATAATAATCAATCATAATAATATTTAAAAAAGTGAGCACTCGCCTCGCAAGCAAGTGGACCTGGGGTTGATTCCTGGGCAGGGCGAAACGTTGGGCAAGTTTTCTTACTCCACATGCCTCCGTTTACCTAGGAGTAAGTAGGAACCTAGTTGTTAGTCAATTGGGGGGTCACTTTTCTGAGGTAATAATCCCTTCAACAACAAAAAATGAGGTCACTTAATCCATGGCTGTGCGCAATTGGCTGCCGCGTTTCGCCCACAAAAATATACAGTCAATTCACTTTGCAGTATATTCTCTGAAGCACTTTGAGACTTCTAGAAGATGTGATAATGTGCAATATCAAATGCAAGGATTATTATTTTTATTTGTCACACATCGGCAAACATATCAAAGCGCTTCACAGGATTTATTGTAAAACATAGGAAGGCAAACAATTTATATTTGGAGGCAAAAACAAATTGAAACTATATGTTAATTTGGATGAAATGTGTTGGAAATTGGCAATATATACACTGCTAATCAGGATGATTCAAATACCAGACACCATCAATTGATTGTAACAAATTGCTTTTTCATTCATTTTACTACATTAAATAATTTGTTTTTGCTTTTGTTTGAAAGTGTTTCCTTATGATTTAAAACCAACAACATGAATCTGTATGGGGTTTGAGAGATGTGATTTGATGTGACACTTTTTAGTGGCAATATCACACATTTAAGATTTCTGTCTCTTTCCAAGTCTGGGACCCAAGCTGCCATTCAATGTGGCAATTCCCGAGATACCGACTTAACTATGAGAGTGAACGACAAACAAGTCTTAGTAATTTAATGCCTGAAATGCTGCCAAAGTAATGGAATATTAAAAGTAACTGGTGCATGAAACAACTGCCTTATCAGCCGCCACTGTATGAGCAAATCATCTTCAGGTATTCCAGCCAAAGTTTAGATTATTAATAATAATAATAATCCTTGCATTTAGTATAAAGCCTTTCATGTCAGGAGGGCATCCCAAACTGCTTGACAAGATATATTGGAAGTGGAGTTTTTGTGGACAAATTAATGAACCTCACAAATATAGTGGAGCCCCATTGTAACATGACGAATTGGTTCCATAAAATCCCAATCTGTGTGATAACAAGGTGTGATGGGGTTTACTATGTATGTGTGTAGCCTATGGTAAAAGAAAATGGCTGGTTTCCAGATCATCAGGTCACCCGCTGACATCTCTACCTGGTTGCTGTACAGGCCCAGCAAAGAATGAAGTGATAACAGCAGCAATCTAATGACCTGAAAGTCAAAACATGCTGGAGGCAAACAGGCAGACTTCGTGAATGGCCAGTAAATAGGGTTCCCAGTGCCAACATAACAGAATTTGTGCTATAAAGAAGCAGATTATAACAATTGCACTGTTTCCATGCCTTCGCCTAGAATAAAATAGATGTTTAGCACCATGTTACTGCAAGCCTTTGAAATGCAACAAGAGTAAAATCAAACTCCCATGATTGGGAATGAGTGTAAAAGTGCACACAATGTGTTAACAACCTCAATGAGTGTCAAAGTTAACGTAAAAAACTGAGGGACCCCAAGCAAAAATGAAATCCTCTGTTGTCTTTATAGAAAACAATCTGGCTTCAACAAACAATCGATTTTCCAGATTGTTTTGCAATTCATGATAAAACAATGTCAAATGCAATGGCTTGTCTGCAGGCTGCTAATGGTAAAGAGCGATGCTAAATGCATCGGTTGCAGTACCAGGTGAACAACTTATAGAGCCAGAGCTCTCTCTTGAATTAGAGCTTTCGCAATCAATTTTATTCTACTTAAATTTTACAAAATAAAATAATTTGTCTCAGGGCACAAAGTGGCTACTTACCTGGAGAAGGGCACCAGGTACTGTGTTTCTTAGACCATTCCTTAAATAAATTGAGGAATGCTTTAAAGGTTAATGAAAAATTTGTCCCATAACCTTAAATTCAGAGCTAAGCAGTTAGAAGTGTGATAAGAAAATATTTCATCACCTAAAGGGCTGTAAAATGTGGAATATATTGTCTCGGAATGCAGTAGATGCAGATTGATTAGAATGTTTCAAAGGGAAATAGGCACTTAAGAATAAAGAGTATGAAGAAAATTAATCAAAAGGTCTGTCATGTTCCAATCAGATAGTGTAAGAGGTATGACTGCGTGAATGGTTTCCTTCTGTTTCTATGATCCTGTTTGCACAGAGCGTTTCATTTTATTTTGTCAAAGTCAGCAAAGCCACAAAACTGGACCCATGTGCTATCACATCAGTTATAGCTTTGCAAAATACAGAGCAAAACTATCTAAACTCAGCCCAACACAAGTGTCTCAATCCCCAAGATAAGAAAAGTACTTCTTAATTCCTGTTGGAATGTTGCATTTAGATTTTCCATGAAGTCTCACTTTTCTGACTGGTATTACAAATTTATGTTGAATTTAGCAGTTTTGTTTGGTGACTTGTGCCTGCTGACTCTTATGTTACTCCAAACTGGATTCAACCACAGGTTCCAGAAGTGAATCATTCAGTTTCTCACTTCTGAATGCAATAGTTTAGAACAGATTTCTATATTAGTTGATTGGTGAATCTCTTTTCCAAGGGTAATAATCCCTTAAAAACAAAAATGTTTTTNAAAAATATAATAATACTTTGGTCACTCAATCCATGACTGTTTGTGGGGCAATGCTGTGTGCATTTGGCTGCCATGTTTCGCCCACAAAATAGAAGTGTATTCAGTGAAGCTCTTTGAGACGTCTTGAAGATGCTATATCAAATACAAGGATTATTATTATATTATATTCAGCATGAGATTGGGTTTAGTAAAAGCATAGTTAGAGCCTTAGAGAACTTAAATGTATAATATTAGAATTGTTTAATCTCACTATTTTGATTTATTTTTAAATCCAGGCATCTAAAGTGATCGGCAATATTATAGTTGTAGAGGCAGAGTGCATTGTGGAGAAATGCTATGAATTTGATATTTGTCTATTCCTGTAAGTTTCTGTATGTTTGAATTGTTGTTCGAATTCCCCTTCACAACCTTCAAAAATACAGATTATAAGTAAAAGAAAAATTATTCACATTTTGAAAACCCAAACGGCAATTCAGTGCTTAAACTGAGCAGGGCTGCAAACTGCATCTTCTGCATTGGATATTGAAGACAAATAGTTTCTGCTCTTTGATCATCAGTCTTCAGCTGCAATGAGCAGGACAAGTGACAGCTCCTCTCATCCCAATTGACTTTACCAGAAGTAAATTTCTAAATGTTCACCGCTTACCAGGAGCTCAGCTATTATAACAAGTGCAATAGAATATATTTTGGAGTGGACAGCTTGAAAAGAAGTAAAGCACTGTGACTTTATAATGGATTGTTCACGGCTGATGATTTAACAAAATCCAATGTGTATTATGGTTTTATTGCTGTGCCAGCACATATTCAGTATCTATGTTGTGAGGGAATTATAAGGCTCTCACACAATTCAAGGGATCAGACACCTCATGGACTAAATAAGTGAAGCACGGTTGATTTATTCATCTCATTTCATTACATTACAGCCTTTAAGATCCCTCCTCCCCAGATGCAGCAACTACAGTGAAAAGTTAGTGCAGGATAATAGAGAAAGATCTCATAGGTTTCAATGTTCCCTCACAGAGTAAGCAACCTAATTGTCCATCTCTCATGGCAAGTCAAGTAGAGCTCTGAAAGTGAGTTACTCCAATTCAGGTTGGTGGATAATATGTCATTAATAGTGGGTTAAGTGCCCTCTTGGCTTGGTAATGGATGATGAACAAGGGTATGATGAGCCTTGAAACAAGCCAAATATACAAACTAAAAATTGAATAAAATGTTCATAACATCCTTGTTGCATGTGTCAGATTTTGCCAGAACTCTGACCTGGATGTTCAGGCCATTTGCCTGTAATGTATATATAGGAAATACAAAGATATTTATGCAGACATCTTTTCCAATATCAGTGCTGGGAAGAAATTCCACCTGGGTCTACATTTACCTGAATATGTTTCATGGTGTCCAGGATTTGGCATTTTTTTCAAAGCTGCCTCAGCTTTGAAACCTTTATTTTGAAAATGACAGAAAACTGACTTCAAAGTTAAAACTGTATTCATAAATTTGCCAAATTCTAGATGTTCTGAATTGCTAGAATAATAAAGTGAATGTGAACCAAGCTTATCCTATTGTCATATAATATGAAGAGAGAGAGAGATGGACAGGCAGACAGGAAGACATAGAGTTTAGAGTCAAGGCTGACTCTCCAGGGCAGTACTGGGGAAGCATTGCATTGTTAGAAGTGTCGTCATGCATAGGAGACATCAATTGAGGTCCTGTCTGCCTGTTCAGGTGGATGTAAAATGTTCTGAAATATTATCCGGGAAGAGAATAGGGTTTCTCCCAGTGTCCTAGCCAGCAATCTTACAGATAAATTGATCATTCACTTCATGGCTGTTCTTAGGACTTTGAACAAAATGGCTGCCATGTTTGCCTCCAAATATTGAACCTAACCACCCACTCAACAACCATTATTTGTGAAATGCTTTGAGATGCTGTTATTATAGGCACTATATCAAATATAACGATTATTATATTATCATAAATACAGGTCATAGTAGCCCATTCAAGGACAGATTAAGTTAAAATATTCAATTTGAACCAACTGCTTTGTATTAATTATAATACAGTCAATGGCATCTGAGTAAATGCATGCATCTGTGATTCAAGTGATGCAGAGTATAAACGCATATCTGACTCAATCACAGGATTGCCATGCACCATTTAATTGAACTCCCATTTTGTAGAGGTTCTGGTTTCAGCAGAGTATTTTAAGTTCACTTTTTTGTGTTTATGAAGCTTAAGTTGTACATGTGAAGGCAGGCTTTGTTTCATTTGTAAAATGTGTAAAATTTGTGAATGGAAACCAGCTGAACCAGGCTTGTCCAGAAAATGGTTATATAATACAAGCACTGTGATATAAACAAGCATGATTGGAACATGTGACACTGTTACAAGGTTTCTCTGTATAGCATTCCTAAATTATTCACAGCACTACCTTGTACATATTACAAGAGGTTGCTGTGGCAATCACAAGCTTCCTGCCACACCAGTTGAGATAATTGTCTCTAAACCTGTTCCAGGTGGAGGCTTGTGTTCTCATTTTGCTGTCAGACAGAGTTTTTTTTTACTAGGTTGCTCCACTTGCATCTTTATTACATTCTTGACCTGAATCAATGTTTCGAGTTTGCTAAATTTGTACATAATCCTAACCACTTAGGATCACACGTGCTCCATTCAGTACTCGTAGATCCTGTCTCAATCTGACTGAGAGCCAGTGTCAGAATTTCTTTCTTTTCCTTGGGGAATCGGAGTTCACGTCCAGCTTCCCTGGCTCTCTCCAGCTCTTGGAGGGAAGCTTGTAACTCCAGCAAAACAATTCCTGGTGTTTTCTTCTCCTTCGAAATCCAATCCAGTGCCATTTGACTTCTCATACAGTCATCCAAAGGGCATTGAGAATAATACAAAATGACTTCCTGTGAATAGGAGTCGAACACTCATTAAAAGTAATGTACAGCATTAAAAATAATGAACATCAGTTAAAATCTTATAAATTTAGTGTTTTAAAACCAACTATTATATTTCTTACTGCTTATTTTACAACGCTCTGGGACATCCTCCCGATGTGAAAGGCGCTCTATAAATGTAATATTGTTGTTGTTATTTTCTCCTCAGCTTGGTATCATTGTTATATATACCCATTGTTCAGCCCTCCAAATCGCTCCCCACTTGAAGGGCAATATATAAATGCAAATTGTTCTTGGTTTATTGAATGTTGTTCCACTGGTGGCATTAGATAGTCTGACACCCATCAGGCTACACCCATCAGTGTCAGATGGATGACACCCATCAGATACTGATCTTACAATTGTGACATCTCAGTACAATTTCACTATATTTGGAATGATGAATACAATTGGCCTTGCTTCAAGGCTCAGTGTGTACATACATCATTTGACGTAATTCTTGGCAGGTACTGAGTTAACTAATCTCAGCGAGATTAGAATCTGGACATGAATAATTGGCCTTAGTGCCCTGAGCCAGAAAGGGAACAACAGCCTGGGTTTGCACTTCTGATTGCTACCCATGTGTGGAAAGTACACGGTGCGGCTATCTGGACAGGAATAGGCTCAGTTGTGATAATCCCATAGCTAAATAGCTCATTGACATTGAGTGGGTGGAGTGTGGCTGGAGTCAGGAATGGAGAATGATTACCTGAGCCAGGTACCAGGTGGCCAGTAACTGTGGAATGATACTCCTGAACAAACTGAATCTGACACATATACGTTTTCACTATAAAGTGCTCAGAGACTCAAATTCCACATGAAGGACGCTAAATAAATGCAAGTTTTTGCTCCTGCTGTTGTATACGTGGAACTGGATGCGAGACTCATATGCCTGTACATCTGGTATTGGGTGTGACAAGCATCTGCAGGTACCTGGCATTACCCATACGTATTTACTTTCCTTAAGCGGTCATTGAATTGCAATTCTGGCTTCTGACACTGAGGCTATTTTTAGTATCCAGGTTGAATCTCACTGAGATCAGGCGAGGCCATGCATTGAATCTGGTTCCTTTCCATTTATATGTCTGAGAACCAGATCAGCTGATGCATGTTACACCCGGGATGGTGTGGTGTTTAGTTATTCTTTGCCACTTATTTCATATTGTGTGTTATTAACTATTATATTACCTGACGGGAACACTTTCTCTCTCTTAGAACTTTCAGACTTCCATTCCAGTGCAGCAGCTGAAAGACTGTCATCAGTTCCTGCAGGTTACGATAGAGAGAGAGATGCTAAGTTTATCAACCCTCCATTGCAGGACTAAGGCTGAATTAAACTGACAAATGACATAATGTTTTGATATTATTCCTGATTATTAATGTACAGTATTTGCAAAGAAGCTAAAGAAAATTAGAAACAGGTTGAAAAATGCTACTAGTATTAGCTGGTTCATATATAAAGCAACGCGTGACATCACATATTAAACAGTCAGGTATCATTTCATTATGTCAAGCTCAGACCCGCTTCTTGCTTTGCGTTTGTGAAAAATGCAGACAGAAACCTAGGGAGAGAGCTTGTGACCATGAGTCTTGCAGTCAAGAGCAAAAGTTCAGAAATTGCCTTTCTCTCATGCTGGAAATGAATGTAACTAAGTTCCATTCAGCCCAACTAGTTTGTGCCATAGTTTAATACTGCACACAAGCCTCATTTCCCTTTCCTATATCCCTCCATTCCCTTCTCCCTTATGTCTGCATCAAGTCTTCCCTTAAATACATTTATGTGTCTTGCTTCAATCATAGCTTCTGGCAGTAAATTCCACATTCTTACCACCCATTCTCTACATTCTCACATAAATAAGTTCCCCTAAACTCCCCTTTGGATCCAGAAATATAATTACCAATCTTACATTTATGCATCTCCCCTCTCCCCATCACCCCCGGTTGTTGTTTCACCAACAAGTGGAGAGCACCTATCAGCATTTATCTCAGAATGCTTGCCCTTCCTGCCAGTGATACAGGTCAAGGGAGATTTTAAGGAGAAGATAAAGAAAATAAAGTGAATGGTAAGTAATAAATAACAATTGTTTCACAGTACCTGAAATTCCAACATGGTTTTGCCTTTATTTGCCTCCAGCATATACTGATAGGCCGCAATGCTTGTCCCAGGGTCATCTGATTTATTCCCGCTGCCCTTATACAAATGAGGAGAAGTAGAGTTACAAACAAAAGGCTTTTACTTTGTGTACTTGGTCTGGGGGCTGTTCACAAGGATAATACCCGAAATTGCAGGAATCAAACTTTGAAAGAGCTAATCATAGTTTACAATTTGTATTTGTTCTAGATACAATGATGGAGGGATGGGGTGTACTGGAAGAATGAGATTGAATGGGCTGAAAAGCTTCTTCATCCAAACTAATCTTATGATCTTCCGTTCTGAGAGAGGCTTACACTTTCCCTAAAAACTTCCAACAAGTGTTCGGATCTTGAATGCATAGCCTGAAATGTTGTTTGAAGCTGATTCGATAACAACAACAACAAAATTACATTTGTATAGCATCTTACACGTCAGGAGAACATCCCAAGGCAACTTTTAACAACTTTTAAGAGAGACGTAGATAATTATTTGGAGAGGACAAGTTTGCAGAGTATGGGGAGAGAGCAGGGGAATAGGATTGAATTGGAAGCTCTTTTCAAAGAGCTGACACAGACATGATGGCCTCCTGTGCTGTATAATTCTATGATTCTATGAAGTGGGAAGCAGTGCAGCCAATCAGTCTGGAATATGTGGTCCACCCCCCATCACAACACTGGGGCTGCCTCTACTGAATACTTTTAAGTGCTATTACATTGACTTTAAATTACTTTACAAAAATCAAAATAGTCACTTTTTACAAATTATACTTTATCCTTCCCTTCTGCTTGCTTTTATTATTGTAACTCTTGTTGGCCAGTGAACTAAATCAGCTCTAGATGGTGCCAAGTCCACTTGGTTTTCAGTAAGAGACCCAGAGATAGCACAACTGCCAAAAAGCTAAATGTCCTTGAGGAGTTCCCCAAGATGCTTTCAGTGAATAGTCAACAATCACCTCAGAATCCTTTTTGGTTTTCAAATCTCAGTTGATGTTTCATGCGTCCTGTTTCAATGTATATAATCTTACAGATATCTACTGTATTTGAAAATCTATGTCCCATTTGGAGTATTTGCTACACAGTCCTCTCAATAGTGAGCTATGCGGTTTTAGCTGGTTCAAATGAAGCTAAGGAATAAAGGGAATTTCTGAAAACCCTGATAGTGTAATGGACAGTGTTGCAGTTTACAGACCAGGAGTTTGGTGGTTTGCTGGTCTGTGCTGAGTTTGTTGGTCTCAGCAAATGGTCCAGGTCCCTGGGAATGCAGTCAACCTGATAACAGCTTAGTTTCATCATCGTATCTTACAATAAACATCTCCCTTCACATTGTTTTTGACCAGGAAAGGACTCAAAACAACTCCGCCAGACATCCAACCAAAGCTTATCACCATTGGATTTAATCACAGACCCTAGGTCAGGTTAGGTAAGCAAGACAGTAACTGAAATTCCAACATAAACCTTTGTGGCTGAATGCCAGACACCAAGGACATGGATGTACAATACATTGCACTTCATCAGCTTGCAGATTGCAGACTAGACAGCTTGACTGAAGTACTCAGCCCGGATTCTATCCTTTAATCTTCCTGCTAATTACAAATGTAATCAGCATCTTGCAAAATGTTTTTTATTCCAAGAATAAAAGAAGAACACTGGACGCATTTAAAATAACAAAAACAGCTTGATGCTGTGATGGGAGGACAGTAGGGTGGATATTCTGAAATTATGAGATCAGTTGGGCCAAGGCCTTCTTCATCCAAACTAATCTTATAATCCTGTGATTAAACCAGGGCTGTCGATGGTGCTAGCTGTATAAATGTACATGTGTAATTTGTTGCGGTTGTAAAATTCAAGAACTGACCGCACAGTAAAAATGCTGGTTCCACTCAACTCACACAACAGATATGAATCCAAAATATACAGACACCGTATCAACATGGTTTTATAGATACTTACGCTGAATGAGGCAATTGCTTCCTGAACACTCTTTCTGATGAATTCCACTGTGATGGTACGGCAGGGCTGTTCGTTGAAGACAGAGTTCACCAGAGCGACTCTGGCAGCCACTCGTCTGGCTTCTGCCTTTGTTGAGCAATGCTGCAACGGGGAATGGCAACAGAAGTTAACAAAACTAATAGGAAGATATACAAACTGAGAAAAGAATATAAATACTGACTGACTTATATTTAGAAATAGGAGTAAGACTGGGTTGTTTTAAAATTTAAGATAGAGTAGAATGCGAAAACGTATTACATTCCAAGTATTCATCTGGAAGCAGTTTTGAGAACTGTGGGAAGCCGACTTCTAAATTAAGACTGAATTTAAAACATTTCCACAAGGCTTCAATTTTAAAGCAAAATGGTCTTACAGGGTAAGACTAGAGGGAATTTCAGGCCTGATATTTATTTCCCTGACCTGATTTTAACTCGTCTCCCAGTGCCTCATGTCACTCTCTGGCTAAATGGTTAGCCACTTGTTCAGCTCTCAGATTCTAGCCAATAATAATAATCCTTGCAGTTAAAGTGCTTCACAGGATATTACTATAATGTGTAGTGATGAACAATACGAGAATATCTTCTGCCCCTCTGCCCTCCCGTATCCCAACTCTGCCCCCATGCTCGGGTCCTGATCCCTGACTGTTCTGCGCCTTGGTACGTCCTTCTGAAAGGTGTTTTACAAATGTAATTTTGTTGTTGTTGTTATCTTCGAACATGCTACTTGTTTTGACTACTTACATGTTACCAGGTCTCTGCCAATCCAGGTACCATGGAGGTAAATCTATGAGTGGGGGCAGTGATATCAGATTACAAATTGCTTCAACTACAGTGCTTCATGATAATCCATGTGAAAGTCACATCTGACTAATCATGTCATAAGGATTTAAATCAAAACATTGGGATGCTTCATGTCCTTTACGGATCGTGCTTTGTTTTAACTAGTGACTTATTTTTCCACCAAACTATAATAACTATGTTTAGCCATATAAATAAGCTACAGTATTGATTTAATATATAGGAAATAATTGCCCTAAAAAATGATATGAAGTCTCTCTCTCACACACACACAAACAGTGCTTTGTTTGGACTCAGACCAATGCTAAATGGTCTTTTGGTTGAAACTGTTCCACAGTGGATGAAATTCAATTCAAACAACTGAGATAAAAGCCTTCATTGAAAGATGACAAGTCATCTGTGACATTGGCTGTAAGTTTTCTTTGAAAACATAACAATATGAATGTGGGATGAAAAGGTTATGCTTTGTGAATAAAACAGTGTGAAGAGAGCATCAGTATTGTAATAAGTCACAAAGCAATGAATTGCACTGTTGTAAGGAGCAACATGAAAGAAATACTACGAAGGAATCGAACATATAGCATTCATCTTTTGATACGGATGAGAACTGCTTTATTTCAAAACAAGAACAACTTGGATTTATATAGCGCCCTCCATGCCGGACGGTGTCTCAGAGAATAGATTCAATCTAATAACTATCAGAATGAATCTGTTATGAAACATCATAATTTTCACCCAGATGTTTAATCACCATTGTTTTTATGAATCTTAAATTTGATCAGATTATTTTTCCTGTAAGTAACTGAGTTTCAGTAACACCATAGAATTTCTTTTTAAACTTTTGCACAACTAAGCCCCTCTTCAGTAACTTTTGCAACAGGGTCTATGTATTTCTGGAAGAAACATTTGATTTGTTCAATTCTAGAACAGCTTTGCTGAAGCAATGGACATTTTCACATTTGCATCACAGGAACTGAGTCTGGTTAGTTAAAGGTCTGGCAAGGAATGGTAATATTTATTATCATGATAAACCAATAATGTCGGGTAATCAGGAACTAATAAGAGTTGAGGTGGCAGCTCAGTATTAAGCATAGTGTAAATAGGGTCTATTACAGTAGAGAAGCAAATTGAGCTTGGTAGATCTACAACAACAACTTGCATTTATACAATGCTGTCACATTAATGAATGTCTCAAAGTATAAAGAAGATATCAAAACTGAAAGATCAGTTCCATTCAAATGTTGTACACCTCTATAGGTCCTCTCTGAGATGACTTCTTTCAAGACTGAAGTGCCCCAGCTTGTTTAATTATTGCATGTAGCTCATTCCTCTATCAGTGGGGATCGTCCTTGTTGGTCTCCTCTGCAGTGCTTCTAGGATCTGGACAGCCCCCTTCTATCACCGTGACCAAACTGTGTGTAGTACTCTAGGTGCAGCCAGACCAGAAATCTGTATAGCCTGGGTATGATGTCTGGGGATCCATCTAAACTGATTTAGCAATGTGGCCCAGCATCCTGTTTGCTTTGTTTATTACTGCGAGAACCAGGCTGATCCCAAAACTGAAAGAGCCTTGTTAAAATACAAAGAGTGAAGCTATAAGATGCAGGGAGGGTTGAATGAAAAACAAATGTATATTACCTGGAAGCTGCCAAAGCAGCTGCCTCCTGGCAGAGTGACGTAACACACATATGGAGCATTGGCTGAGGGCACACACTCGTACACTACCAGACTGCCATTCTTTAAGGCAGCTCCTTGTCTCTTCTTCTTTTCCCAAAATTTCTGCAGTGTTTCCACCATGTTCACTGTTTGAAAATGATATAAAGACACCTTCAGAGTCAGCAAATTACAGACTGCTATAGGGCAGAAATGGGACCATCAATTCTCCTCTGCACAATCACCTAATGTAATCCCACTTTCCTGCTCACTCTCCCTACATAGCTATTGTCCTCATAACATTTATACAGGTATATCTTACATCAAGCAGGAGGAAATAAATATGTTATTCATTGATTTGAATGTAGATTATTCATTAATTTTAACATCATCACATTTTACAGAGGTTCCTGCAGGACTGGTTGCTTAGTGACTGCAAATCCAGGTACTAAATGCGGTGCAGACATTTTATGACCTTAGTGTTAGTTTTAACCAAGGCCATGATTACATTTCAACATGACTGACTTGATTCCTGAATTTTAATTTGTTGCTAAGTGGCACCCTGCTGTTGTTTTCAGTAGCAGGTTGGCTCAAGTTAACCAGTGAATTTTTGGAGATGTAGGAATAAGGTTGCACTGTACCAGTCAAGTTATTGCAGTTTATCTAGCTGGTCCCATTTTCAAATACAATATAACCACTGCATTTCTCTATTTTTCACACAGCCTAAAGCATTTGCCATCAAAAATCGCATTCCTTCTTAAAACTTACCACCCCATCCATATACCTCCACTCCAGGTGTTAAGTAATTGAATATCCTTGTAGATAAATCTAATTCCAGTGCAAGGTTTGTGTCACCATTTGTCACACAGAATGGCTCAAAATGGCAATTGGTTCATTTTCCAATTGCACAGCTCCAACGTTTGTGCAGAATGTATATCCTGGGGCCTGGGGATCTCAATAGATTGGAACATTGACTTTTAACAACAACAACAACAACAAGATTCCATTTATAGAGCGCCTTTCACGTCAGGAGGACGTCCCAAGGCGCTGCACAGTTGGGTCATGACCCGAGCAGGGGGGAAATGGTCAGGGTGAGGGGAGGGAAGGGAGGGAGAGAGGAGGGGGGAAATGGTCAGGGTGAGGGGAGGGAAGGGAGGGAGCGAGGAGGAGGAAGAGAGTCGAGAGGGGAGCTGAAGGCACGGTCAAAGAGAAAGGTTTTGAGACCGGCCTTGAAGGAGGAAAGGGAGGAAGCAAGGCGAAGGCACTGGGGGATGGAGTTCCAGAGCCTCGGGGCTGAGAGGCTGAAGGCCCGACCACCGATAGTAGGGCGGTTGGGGCGGGGGACGTGGAGCAGACCGGAGCCAGAGGAACGGAGGGTACGGGCAGGTAGGTAGGGGGATAGTAGGTTGGAGAGGTAGGAGGGAGCAAGGCCGTGAATGGCCTTGTAGGTGAGGATGAGGATCTTGAAATCAATCCTCTGGGGGATGGGGAGCCAGTGGAGGCGAGCGAGGGTGGGAGTGATGTGGTCCCGAAGCCTGGTGCGGGACAGTACACGAGCTGCAGAGTTCTGAATGACCTGCAGCTTGTGGAGGGAGGTGCCGGGAAGGCCGGCGAGGAGAGAGTTCCCATAGTCCAGCCTTGAGGTGACAAAGGCGTGAACCAGGGTTTCAGCAGCGTGAGGGGTGAGGTAGTGCCGTAATCTGGCGATATTCCGGAGGTGATGGAAGGCGGTGCCAGTTGTGGTGCGGATGTGAGGGAGAAAGGACAGCTCAGGGTCGAACAAAACGCCGAGGTTCCTGACTGGCTTTGAGAGGTGGAGAGTGCAGCCTTGGATGCTGATGGTGTCAGCGCCTGAGGTGCGGAGGCGCTGACGTGAGCCAATCAGGAGGGCCTCGGTTTTTCGCACGTTGAGCTGAAGAAAGTTGTCTCTCGTCCAGGACTCGATGTCGGACAGGCAGGCTGTCAGGACATCGGTGGTCGTGGAGTTGAGAGTAGAGGAGGAAAGGTAGAGTTGGGTGTCATCCGCATACATGTGGAAGTTAACCCCATGTTTGCGGATGATGTCACCGAGGGGGAGCATATAGAGGGTGAAGAGGAGGGGACCGAGGACAGAGCCCTGAGGGACACCACATGAGACAGTACGGGGGGTGGAGGAGAAGCCATTCGTTGAGACGAAGTGAAGACGGTGGGAAAGGTAAGAGCTAAACCATTCAAGGACAGTGCCTTGAAGGTTGAGGTGGGAGGACAAGCGGTGGAGTAGGATAGCGTGGTCGACCGTATCGAATGCTGCCGATAGGTCGAGGAGGACGAGGAGACAGAGGGAGCCCTGGTCACAGATGGTCAGGATATCATTGGTGACCTTGACCAGGGCAGTTTCTGTGCTATGAGCAGCACGGAAACCTGACTGAAGGGGTTCAAAAAGAGAATGGGTGGAGAGGAAAGAGCGCAGTTGGGAGGCGACAACTCTTTCCAAGACCTTGGAGAGAAAGGGGAGGTTGGAGATGGGCCGGTAGCTTGATAGCTGCGACGCATCAAGGGAGGGTTTTTTCAGGGTGGGCGTGATGATGGCAGTTTTTAATGGAATGGGGACAGAGCCAGAGGAGAGGGACAGGTTTATGATGTCAGTGATGTGTGGGGCAAGAAAATGGAGCTGGGAGATAAGGAGTGGAGTGGGGATGGGGTCAAGGGAGCAGGTGGTTGGTTTTAGGGATAGGATGAGTTCAGTGACAGAGGGTGGGGAAACGGGTACGAAGGTGTGTAGGGGAGGATGGGTAGGAGTCGGAGTGTGGGAGGGAAGGGGTGGGTGGTGGGTGGAAGTTGGAGGGGAAGTGACCGCGGAGCGGATTCCCTTGATCTTGGATTCAAGGAAATCCAGCATCTCCTCGCAGTGAAGGTTGGAGGAGATGACCTGCGCGGGGTGGCGGGGGGGACGGAGGAGTCGGGATGTGGTGGAAAACAGTAGCCTGGGGTTGTTCTTCGCCTCCAGGATTATCCTGGAGTAGAAGGACGACTTGGCCGAGGCTAGAGTGGAGCGGTAAATTTTGAGGAGGTCCAGCCAGATTTGTCGGTGGACCGTTAAGCCGGATTTGACAAAGGTGCGCTCAGCAGCCCGCACCTGGCATTTCAGTGAGCGGAGGTGGGTGGTGTACCAGGGGGAGGAGCGGGAGTAGGAGACAGTGCGGGAAGTGATGGGGGCAAGAGTATCGAGTGTGGAGGAGAGGATATTGTGGAGGAGGGAGAGAGGAGAAGAGGGGTCGGTGAGGGTTGAAGGCCAGAGGGAGAGGAGTTCAGAGGACTCCAAGGCATCGGTTAGGGATTGTGGGGGTAACTTCTTCCAAGGGCGGTAGAAGATGGTGGTGGGTCTGGTGGAGGTGGGGAGGGGGGTGGAGGTGGTGAAGGAGATGAAGTAGTGGTCGGAGATGGCCTTGTCGGTAATAGTGACATCCGAGACACTGAGGCCCCGGGTGATCACCAAATCGAGTGGGTGGCCGTGACTGTGAGTGGGGGAGTTTATGTGTAGGGAAAGGTTGAGTGAGGAGAGCAGGGAAGAGAAGTCTGTGGAGATGGAGCAGGAGGGGGTGAAGTGTAGGTTAAAGTCGCCCAGGATGATGAGGCGATCAGAGGAGAGGCAAAGAGATGTGAGGAGTGTTGAAATGTCAGAGATGAAGGTGGGAGAGGTTTTAGGGGGCCGGTAGAGGAGGAGGATTTTAAGGGATTTTAACCTCTGGGACTCAAGCTAACATCCATCCCAGGATGAAAGACTCCCTTTTCTGCTGGTTGTGTGTGTCCTGCATGAAATCAGTTCATCAATTCGGTTTCTAATGGACCGAATCAACAAACTCAACTCAAAACACAAAAGGCACAGAAACAGCCTATTTTGCCTAACTAGTCCACGCTAGTGTTTATTACTCACACGAGCCCCCATCACTCCTATTAGACACGGAAGTGCTAACAATCATGGCACAAAATTGCTTAGAAAGGCCAAAAAGATGACTGGTGTGGGAAGTGGGAAAATTACTGCTGGTGTAGTAAGGAGCAGCTCAGCGTTGGAGAATAAGTACCGTTTCAGCAATACCTTTTAGAAGATCTTATATTCTACCACTCTCAATAAATAAATAATAAATAATTACATTTGATAGAACACAATTCACATCAAGGGGCTGAATCATAGCGCTTCACAGGACATAATTTAATGTGACTGTGTAATAATTTAATGTGAGGGTACCTGCCCGTAACCTCCGTTCCTCTGGCTCCGGTCTGCTCCACGTCCCCCGCCCCAATCGCCCTACAATCGGTGGTCGGGCTTTCAGCCTCTCAGCCCCGAGGCTCTGGAACTCTATCCCCCAGTGCCTTCGCCGCCTCCTCCCTTTTCTCCTTCAAGGCCGGTCTCAAAACCTTTCTCTTTGACCGAGCCTTCAGCTCCCCTCTCGACTCTCTTCCCCCTCCTCGCTCCCTCCCTTCCCTCCCCTCACCCTGACCATTTCCCCCCTGCTCGGGTCATGACCCAACTGTGCAGCGCCTTGGGACGTCCTCCTGACGTGAAAGGCGCTTTATAAATGGAATCTTGTTGTTGTTGTTGTGTTGCTTGTAGGTAAACATGGGGCAATTTGGCACAGCAATGATCCATAAACGGCAATTAAGTGAATGACCAATTTCAATGTCGGCCAGGTCTTTAGGTGAAATTTCCTTCTCAAGTTCTGGCATTGAATCTGTGTATCTGTGTAAACGTGTATCTAAACAGACAGGCAGGTCTAACATTTCATCTAAAGGATAGTGCTATACCCGATCTAGTAGAACTTGATGGTGAAAGCATTTTATACCCCAGGACTTGCATCCTTTACCTAGATGAACACGGCATCTATCAAAAGTATTTCTATTATCCAAATATACAGACAGTTATAAAGGCATTTTAACTTTACTGCACTGGAATGAAAAGCGAGGAGCAAGCCTTTGGGATACATTACATTAAACATATATTATAAAAACAAGGATTATAATCAAACCAGGGTATCTGTCACAACATCAATTTTTGCATATATAATAATCACGTACTACAGTTTAAAATAGAGAGCTGTTAAGGTGCTTGTTGACTGTTTAATGATTGGAAAAACTCGCCATTTAAACAGCAGTGTTGAAGATCAAGTCTATT